GAGTCTTGGAAGAGTCTTGATGGATCTTGAATTATCCTTCCTTGGCTTATCTTGGACTCTTGGCCTTATCCTAGGAGCTGCCTCCCCTAGGAGTGAGATGGGCCTTGGGATGGGCCTCCATCAGGGGATGCGTTAAATTAGTGTATGTATGAGTTTTGTTGGTCATGGCTCTCGATCTGCTACAAACAGAACATGTGAGCCCAATATAAGTAAAACACATCAGTTGCTGGTACATCTGCTAACTGTACAGATTGCAAATGTGCTTATTGTTTTCTCATTACAGGGTTATGTAACCTGCTGTACATACCTTATTTTTAGTAGATCTGGAGCCATTGGTCATAGTGAGAACATGGTTCTTGTTAGTTGCAGTTATGCAACACCATTAGGCTAGGGTCTGACACCATTGGATGAGCTCATTATTTTCTAAGCCTTATCCCATCTATTTAGATGAGCTACTTTTCATAAAGCATAGAGCTTTTGGCTTGACTGTCATTCAACCGAAATTGTCATAGATCATAAGTAGTGTTGCCCTTTGCTTGCTTCTGCTTATGTTTATTGGATCGACACTGGCCTGAACATAAAAAGAAAAAGAATGATGATAAAATTTCTAAAATGAGCCACTAAAAGTGATTACTCTGTTGGTCCCATTGATCTGGGATATTCCCTTCTTTTATGTGGCATGAAGTGGCAATCCATAGACTCAAATCGCCATTGTCACGCTTGTCAGCCTGAAGGGAAAATTACTAAAAAGGCATGATGAAATAACAAAACTTTTAAAGATTAGCCTACTAATTATTTGCACAAATTTACCCTTAATTATATTTACGTATTCACTTTGCTGAGCCATGCATTGTATTTAATGTAATCATTTTTTCCCTGGTTTAAGTCCTCTTAATCAAACAAATCTGAAGCCAGAACCAATAAAATATTTTGATATTGAAGTGGTTAAGCGATTTAAACTTAAAAGTATGATTAATAAATAAGTCTAAAAATGATTGAATTGTTTACGGTTACGGGACAAATTTGTCCACTTAGGCTATGTTTGGTTTGAAGGAAAAAGTAGGGAAAAGAAAGGAAAGGTAGGGAAACCTATACAAGATTTGTGAAGGTTTCCCTAACTTTCCTTTCCCTACTTTTTACTTCAAACCAAACATAGCTTTAAGAAAAATGATATGATTATGATCTTGTCTACTCTCATCTTGCTTCTTGAAAGCAAACATTTGAACAAAGATTAAACCTTGAAAGCAAAGACATAGAAGGCCTACCGGGCAATATTTTATAATAATGCCCTTTTCAGTATTCTGGTTTTCTCAAGAATTTATGGGTTTTGTCGAGTTTATTGCTGATCCATCAACAACATAAGAGGGTTATCATACATCTTTCGTAGATGCTAGGTTCCAACTGTCTTTTCTAACATGTGATATCCTTTGTGTAGGGAAATAGCGGATGTGTTGGTCCTTGTGGAATAAAATTGAAAGAAATCTATGTTTGGAGGAGAGGTAACTCCAGATTTCTGGATGTTTTACATATACTGGTATGTCCATTATGCTGAATGGTTCATCTAATGTTTCAGCTGTTAAAGTATTTATTTACATCTTAAACCTGGAACTTAAACTTGTTCTGCACTAGTCAGGAATGAGTCACCAATCTTTCTTTTCGGGAACATTGACCACTTTCACCTTTTAACTTGGGGGATTTGAGAGTGGCTGTCTTCAACAACATTTTGGAAATCCTTGTCATCTTTCACATTTTATTTATTGTTTCTATAAATGGAATTATCTTATCTCACAACATTTCTAATTCAGTGAAATGAATGGGCTGAACCATGAGGTTGGTGGTTTCTTCCCATGTTGGGGAAAGAGAAAGGAAAAATATGTGGGCCAAAATAAATTACATGAAATGGAATCAGGAAAAAAATGGAAGGTAGGTTCTCCAGTACAGTTTTGCTAAATTCCAACCCAACTCAAATGGAAGTATGGAATAGAATTATTGAACCCAAATGACCCTATAGGGTCAGGGTCACAGTCGATTCTAACTTCACCCATGAACAATACCCCCATTCTTAGTGAGGGCTACATATATAATTTTTTCAATGCTACTATGTTGTCCTAGAAGTTTTGTGAAATTTTGTTGTAAATATCACCTGATGTATATCATCAAGGCTTATGATGAACATATTTTTAGGTGACATTTAAAGAACATGATTTTCCAGTCTTCTGACAAATGCGAGAGATTTGCATAAAACAATATCACCAAAGTATGTAAACCAGCAGTTTTACAACACCTATAATAATATGGAAAATGATGAAAACTGTTTTGTGATGTGAACAGGTTGAGTTTGTTGCAGGTACGCCTCAACCCAGATCTGCTGTAGGTTGGGCTCATTTGACCTAAAGCCAACCCTATAGGGTTGGGTCACCACGGGTTTACCACTTAACCCAACCCGATCCATTGACATCCCAAGGGCTGCCGATGGTATCCAAGGTGATATGGATGTAATCCTCTTGCTTTATTATTTTCATTGAAAAGCAACAACCACTTACGCTAGTTTCATTCATCAAGAATCAACCATACAATCAGTTTGGATAACCCTCTCAATTTCATTGGGAGGAGAATTAATCCATATAGAATACAAGACTCACTAGATTTGACCGCCAGCTTAGCTAATTTGTGGGTTGCCCGGTTACAAAATATGGGAGCAAAAACAAGTGAAAGAGTATCAGATTTTAACAAATGCTTGCAATCCTCCAGGATGCCTACACATTCCATTAATAATTGATCCATTTATTATTCGGTCAATTATGGATCCATTCCAATCCAATCTGATAATATTTAAATATATATTATAAATAATATATGCTTATATTTATATAAAATTAATATTTATCTATTAAAATTTAACCAAGTTTGTTTAGATCCCAACTCGGGTTCAACTGTTCAAGACTCGGTGGTTATTTTCCAGTCATTTTGTTCCAGATGTGTAATAATTGAAGCTATTTCTAGTTGATTTTATTAACAATGCAAAATGTTTAAATTATTTTCAGTTTAGTTTGTATCTGTTTGGCATCTATGCTGCAGATACAGCACCGTTCTCAGAAAACGGTGCTGCTGATTTGTGGGTTGGAAGCACCGTTTTCAGAAAATGGTGTCTTTTTTTGGAGTAATAGCAACGTTTTCTGTTTGGTACCAAAGCTCCAGGAAACGCTTTCATCACTGATACTTATTATCCAGTGTTACATCGTGTCCCTGTTGGCAGCAACGACCTGCAGTTCCAGAAAATGCCAAATTCGGTGTTTCTTCAAGCCATGCGGCCCACGCCTTCCTGGTTTCCAAGGTGTGGCTTGGAGCACCGTTTTTTATGGAAAAACGGTTTCAAACAAACAGGTGTTTCATGGAGCACCGTTTTTTTTAATATAGTGCTGATGTGTTGCCATTTTTTGGAGCAACGGCATTGATGCCAAACAGACGCTTTATTAATGCCATATAATCTCACAGACTGATCTGAATCCAATGGATAAGATTCGATTCTAAGTCTAATATTAACAGAATAGCATCCCTGTTCAACAACCCACTCACTCCAGAATGTGTTGTTTTAGTCGGGTTGAAATGTCGTTATCACTGAATGGTAACCCGTAAATTGCTTAAGCATTTGGTTTGCACAGTGCATCTTCAACCCAAGGGAACCAAACAGCACTAGCATAAACGTTTTCTCAGAAATCGCAATACCGTTTTTTATAAAACACAATGAAGCCAAACACCTCCTACAAGGTTCATTGGGCAAGCCTGGTTTGACGTGGAGCCATAGCTTCTAGCCTTCTACTATCCATGAAATTGATTGGCGGAACTGGTTAAGGTCGGTTTGTTTACTTGGTTCTGCGAGTGACCTATTTGTAATATGGTGCCACTGCTGAACCTTAGATTCCGTTTTCTTCAACTGAGAAAGTTAAGGGCATCGTTTCCGGTTTCACTGTGTCAAATGGTTCTTTTTTTTTCCAAATTCTTACTTGGTATATTTACAAAAAATGTGTCAAAAATTCGCCTTTGTTACTAAATAATTTATATAAAAAATATTATTCATCTTTTACAATTTACATTGGTTGATCGATATTATGCAGATCGAAGACCAGAAGGGTCCTTAAAAATCGTTGTAGTGTCTGAATCCGATGTGTTGTCGATATCCTCTATTTAGAAGACTCCATGCAACAGTATTTCAAACAAAATTTTCATTGCAAATTCTAAAGTGTATTTGCTTTTATTGATTTATGGGGAGGACTATGTACTAGCTATTAAATTGAGCTTATGATTTTTATGGATCATATTCTGAAAGACCTTAGAGCTTGGCAACATGGTTCAAAATAACGATATCCTTGTTGATGAATGATGGCGAATTTTCCTGTATTGAGCGTGTCAAAGCATCAATTCCCCTTGATTTATGCTTTTTTAGGTGTTAGCTCATTTAAAAATATATATATATATATATATATATATATATATATATATATATAATAGGATATCATATTAGACTCTGGAAATTTCATTACTAATTAATTCCTTATATTTGGTGTATCAGCAACCTCAAAAGCCTATACGTATCATACTTTGAACCATGTCGCCAAGAATGAGTGAGGAATCAGTAATCTTTTATTTGTTGGATCTGTACTCACTTTTCTCTCTTTATTCCTTTAGAATTCAGAACTACTCACAGATTTGAGTTGAAATCAAATATTCATCATTTTGTTGGAAAAACCTCAGACTATGCCTTGGAAATCGAAAAAGGTGTGGTATACTGATGCTAGTAACAATATGTTTCCATAACTTGTAGGGTCTGGGTCATTTGAGTACAATACTGATCTAAAGAAGTAGGTTTCCATAACTTTTAGGGCTAGTTCTCTTTATGGATTTTGAGAAGGGGGAGTTGGTCAATTCGATTTTGTTATTTTTTTCAGATTTATGTGGGGTTTGAAAAAATTGTTTTCCCTGGGTATCACTTAGCCAGGAAAGTGATACTCATCTCCTAAGTGGATAAATAACTTTTCCATCCGAGTAAAAATTGCCAATACTTGGATGGAACAAAATCACCCATTTTAATAATATTTTTTTATGGCTAAAACAGACATTATCTTATTTACTTGAAAAATAAAAGACCATAGATAAATGCATTTACTTAGATAAGTGTTCCTTGAGAAAAATACTTACTCAGGTAAGTGTATTTACCTGGTAAATAAGTTACCGAAAAACAAATGAGTTCTTAGTCACTTTACCCATGTTTTTGGCAACAAGATTCATCATCTAATAGGTCCTACTGTCCTAGCGTTCTAATTCTCTATCGGCTAGTGAGGAGAGGATTCTTTACTTATCCAATAATATCATCCCAATTCATTCAGTTAGTAGGGAAAGAAATAACTGTTAATGTCAAGAAATCAACCCCTCCCCCTGAATTTTGATGAATACCTATTTATCTTAAATGACTTGGCTTAGGCCAGTAGAGGATACCTTGGAGCTGGTCCTACGCAGGTAAAAGAGGTAGGGCTCCAAAAAGGTATCACCTGCTCATTTGGTAAGGTCAGTCTGGTTGTGATTAAACGTATTCATGGGTAGTCTATAACATTAGATCTGATTTTTTTTCATACCGGTCATCGGTCATCCAATTTGATAGCTTTTTTTTTTTTTTTTTTTGTTCTTCTTCTATTTTCTCAAGTTATAGTGAGATCTTATTTTAAAGTCATTTAATATAAAATAAATCAATTTTATTTTATTTTTGAGTAAAAAAAAGAGTAATCAAAATTTAAAAAGTTGAGGGGTATCATTGGAAAAATTAAAGAACTATCAAAATCTCCCATGAAAGAAACCACTGTAATGAGGTATGAAATCAAAGAGGAAAATGTGTCTCTTTGGGAAACATTTGAGAAAGAGGAAAATGTCCACAAAGAAGAAAGAAAAGGAAAGAAACCGCCGAAAATAAAGTATAGAATTCATAAAGACGTCATGACCAGCAAAACCAAGAGCAGCGCCACCGACCAGAGGAGGCTTATATATGCTTTGGTCATGGACGTCGACACCTCAACCTTCCTTTTACCCTCTAGCGAAGGAAATGTGTTGTTAAGCATTACTGTTTTTATTAATTTATATATTATTATCATGGTTAGGTGTTATTCCCTTTTCCTTGTACTTTCTCCATCCGGTCAAATCTTGCTTTGTCTTTGTCTTTTGTTTTGGTCCTGCGACGCAATTGTCACCGCAAAAGTTCTTTTTCTTGATATTGAAGCATGCATCAACCCTTGGGATTCATTTGGTAAGGAAGACAAAGAGTGCGAAAACATGGGGATGGAGTCCAATCAAGGATCAGGGCCCGCTTGGTTTGAGGTTGGAATTGGAATTGGAATCAGAATCAAAATTTTCTAGAATTGGAATCGGATGGTTTATTCTTATAGTCTGTTTGGTTCAGACAAGAATGAGAATGAAAATTAGAATCAACAGAAATGAGATTTAATTCCTAAGGGAGAACAGAAAATGACCATTCCTTCAAATGAAAGAATGCCATTTTAGCAAAAGTGAAAATGAGATTCTAATTCTACCCAACCAAACAGTTGAATTCCAATTCTGATTTCTAACCCTATTCCCATAAATCAAACGGGGCCTCATTTTTCTTATTGGTGCCTTGATTCCATCATCTTACAAAAAGGAAAATCATCACTCTTAAGATATGATCCCTCAGGCTGAATAAACTTGGAAACATGCTATATTTAGTTGTATTTGTGTGATATTGTGATGGGTACGTATATTATTGTTTTGGTTTCGTACTAATACAAGGAAACGAGAAAGACTGAAAGAGGGTAGTTTCTGCTTTCTAGGCCAAAGCTTTAGTTTGGGTACTCACTCACGTGATGGTCAAGGCCCACCACTAAATGGGCCCCACGTTGAAATTAATTGATCCAACCCCTCTTTAATAATGGCCTTTGTTTAGGAGATTCATTACCAATGCAGTGATTAAGTTAGATTAATAATTATTCTTTGCCTATATAATTATAATCCAAATAACTAGTGAGGGTGAAACTTGTTTGCTCATTTAGTGGGCGGTTTCGGGTGTGATTTTGTCAAACTTTAGATGGATCCGACCCAGAAGCCTGAGGCTAAAACAGTATGCATTTTGGACCAGCCTGAATTGCACCCATGATCATTAGTCAGGTAAAATAGAGTTTTTCTTACACGAACCTACTTACTTCCGCCAGGTCAGGGGGGCTTCTGATCAATTCGGGTTATTTATTACATAGGAGACCTTATTCAAAAGATTTTTTTTTTTTTAAATGTGAAACATATTTAAGGATCAAAGATAAATTGGATATGGATACACATTAAAAACATATAGATACGAACGAAAGATATAGAAACACTTTGATACTTGAAAAATGCATACAAATCACATAAATACATTAATAATACTAAACCAAAAGTTGAATTATCAATGAATAAGGTCTAAACACATGAGAAGTGCACATTTCAATAGGTTATATGAAGATAAACATTACAATAAACAATACCAGGACTCTAGAACATCCAAACATCATACAATAATGATTGTTCTTTAAATTTCTATAACTACAATTTTTAATGCTTGCCATTTTGGGGGAATATTTATTAATTTAATATTTTTATATAAATAACAACTCTTTTTTAAATAATAAACATGTTTTCATTTTTAACATATAATGCTTTTATTCTACATATAATTGTAAAATAAAACATATAAATCATTTAAGGTAGATAAAATAAATTATTTATATTTTTCAGTTTTTATTAAGTTTTTTTTGGAGAAATAAAATCTTAAATTATTCACTTCAGTTTTTATAATTATACTTCTGTTTTCCATTAATATTGTTGGGAAAATTTATTTATTTAGTATTTTTATATAGTAACTCTATTTTTCAAAAAATAACTGTTTTCATTTTTAACATATAATTATGTGTAAAATAAATTATATAAATCATCTAAGGTAGATGAAATCTATTATTTTTATAATTTTTAGTTTCTATTATTTTGTTAGAAAAGTTAAATCTTAAATTATTTATTTCAATTTATATAATTATATATTTTTTTAATTTTTATTAAAGATGAAAAACAATCCAAATGTAGTCAATATACAATTCTGTCAAACTAGGCATGGATATACCTCTGTATAGGTGTGTATCGAATCGTATCCACCGATACAGTGCGACACGACCCGATACGGAGGTGTATCGTGCTGATACACACAACTCATGGGATACGTATCCAGTCGTGACATATCCCATATCCATGACCATGGATATGGATATGATACGTCCCGTATCAGGAATATCGTATCGATAACTTAATCCTTGAGCATACCTAATGTTTCAAAACCCAACCGAAAGGTTGAACCATTTCTCCCTCTTAGCCAATGGACCAACCAACCGTGATGTTATCATTATAAAATTAAAAAAAAAAAAACAAAAAAGAAAAGTTGATAATCCATTGAAGGGTAACATAGATAAATGGTGCAATTATCCAAATTATCGGGTCATAGATCAAATCAACATTCACTACAATTATGACCCCATTGAAGGGTATTAACATAGATAAATGGTTCAATTATCCAAATTATCAGGACATTGATCAAATCAACATTCACTAGAATTATAACCCCTGCACAGCATGCCTCACAATATATCCAACAATGGATTGGAAGCATCACCTAATGACAAGTACATGTACATGGAGATGTTTCCAATGCATACTAAGACATGCATGTAGAGTGGACTCTATGAGGCGCAAATTCTTAAAATACCTTTAAGTTTAGGCGTTGTTTGGATAGATTTTTACTTTTATAGTATCAAAGTACAAAATACATAAAATGCTTTTATTTGGACACTTTTATTTTGAAAACCATTTAGGTAAAAAATTTTGTAAAGTATATTTTTCAGAATAAAATAACTATTTCCTATTTGGTAAAAGCACATCCGTTCATGCTTTTGGTGACGGTTTTTGATGATTTGGTGGCTGAGACCGCGATGGTGGTCTAACTCTTGTAGCGGCAAGCAGAGATAGGGCTGAGAGTTGTATTAGAGGGTGGTCAGATGTGACTACCCATTCGCACGAATATGAATGTATTATTTCATAAAAAATCAATTTCGTGCTTTTAGAGGTTTTTATAGTTTTAAAAAGTATGAAAACAAATGCATAAGGTATATAATATAAACACTATATCGTATTTTTCATGCTTTTATACTTTTAAAAGTAAGAAGGTATTTTATAAAAATCTATTCAAATAGGGCCTTAATTGTCTCATTAATGCTTGTTTGGGAGAATTTTCTCGTGGTGCAGCATTTAGAAGTAGGCCCCACCTGAATAGATAGTCTAAAAGCAATACTTGGTGAATACCCCGGAAAGCTCAGATTAACCATACTTCAGCCAGACTATGGCTTTAAGGCTTTTCCGTGATGCTTTTTTTACTTCTCGCAGTTCAACAAAAGCAACTCAAGTACTCAACAACCAAAGCACCGGTCCTCCCAAACGGACCCTTAACAAATTAATAATGGGGTTTTATGCATTTCCCAAGTGCTTTAATTACAATTTACAAGCCAAAGAAGGTTCAGTTCAGTCCTTTAACGTAAATTGTTGGCAAAAGTTCAAAACACCTCTGCTGAGTTGGTCTGGTTGTTACCTGTTGGGACGCCATCATTATTGTTGGTGCAATTAATCAACTGAATACCACACACTACCAACTGCATCACATCGTGCGGTCGGGCTGTATCTGACTCTAAGGGTTCGTTTGGTTCACGGAAATAGGGTCTGGATTATTTGCTTGGGTGGAATGGGAATGTCATCCCCCCCAACCCCCAATGTCTCATTCCAGCTTAATTTTGATTTCTGTCTGAACCGAACAAACTACGAGAATATATCATCCCAATTCCAATTTTAATAGGTTTTAGTTCTAATTCTAGCTATAAACCAAACGGGCCCTAAAATCGCTAAGAGTCAAAAAGGAATGCGTCGGAATACGCGACGAATACTTTCTATCCAGTGTATGTGCATAGAGAATTACAAATTCAGATTCTCTCTCTATTTAATATAAATAATATATAATTAATTAAAATTAATTTTGTAAAACCACAGTGTTAAGACTTAAGTTATTACCAAAAAAAAGTGTTAAGACTTTAGAATTGCTGCAGTTAAAATAATTAAATCATGTTAAATAATAAATAATTAAACAGTGAGCTTAGAGATGAGAGCCTATAAAACGCAGCTTAGCGAAAACCAACTGTAGTCAACACTTTTTTAGAAAAAGGGCTGAAAGCATGTGGGGGGCCATGTGCTTGACCAAACCAAACTGACGAGTGCAATACAAGTGTACACGTGGGATGGGACCCCACATATTTATCAAGCAGATGCTGATCCCATGGCTATCAAACGTGAGCACTTGTCTGAATCTTCTTTTCATGAAGAGGAATATCGACTCTGCTTACTGCTTAGCATTAAAAGATTAAAAAAAAAAAATCGGAGAACACATCCAACCTCTAGCGTACAAAGTGATGCTGTTTACGTTACTCACTGTCACTGCCTCTCAATTCTAATTTCTAAAATATATTTATTAGTTAATTTTATTATTTATTATATTTAAAAAAAAAATCTTCTCCGTCTAATTTCCACGACTCTACTATTCAGCTTTATTTTTGTTTTTTTATGGCTTTTCGGACATTCTCATGTTCACTTGGGAGGCTGAGGCAAATAGATATCACAGTGAGCAGTCACTAATGGCGAGTATCGGATACGAAGCGATTCTTCCTAGTTCCTGCTTCTCCACCGCATTTCTCTGCCTCCATTTTCTACAGTGAGTCATTGTTTTCCCTTTACTTTTATTTTCTTTTCCTTTTTGTCTTTTAAAGGTGGAGACTTTATTTGGACAGACTAATCTGTGGTTCTCGCTCTTTGATTGCTGTAAATCTAAGTTCATTATTTATGGTTCCTTTTCAGTCGTTTCAGCATTCGATTACGGTAGTGTAGATTCCCTTCCTTCTTCTGGTTTCTATAGGACTCCCTCCCCCAAGAAAAGAAAACATTTTCCTTAAAAAATTTTAAGTACTCGGGGTGATCCGGAGAATCTGGTGCATTACCCTCTTTTGAAATCTTTGTGCTGTTTACGTTGATGATCGGGTCTTTCTCCAGTAGTTTCTGTCTGCAAATGTGCTCTTCATTTGGTAAAGTTTCATGTTTTGAGCGTTCTTTTTGTTGATATCGGTTTTTTTTTTCCCTCATAATTACGACTCTTCCCTTTCCTTGTCATTTTCTCTCTGTTTATTTTTATTTCTGTTATGTTTTTGTACTGTTTATATGATTTGAGTATTTGCTTCCCCTGTTAACTGGGCCGAAATGCCACTTTTTTTCGGAGATTTCTTTTTTGCTTCCTTGCTCTTTTATGGAAGGCATACGAGGCACTACATCTGGGCTCCTGGATTTATGCTTCTGTTGGTAAAAAAAGAGAGGAAAAGGAAAAAGAGAGAGAGAGAGAGAGAGAAGAAAATGAGCTGAAATTAGACAAACCATCTCTCTTTAAGATTTCCAAATTTATAATCCTTTTTATATCTTTTTCTTTCTTCCTCTTGGGAGTGGGAGGGCTTTATTTATTTTAATTCTTATGCCAAGTGAATGGTACTCCACCCTATCCTTTCCTTAGATTAGGTGCATGTCCACACTGCCAGAATTTTCATTCCAAGCCATCTGAATGAGGATAGTTGTTTTTTTTTCCCTAGTAGTTATCTCTGCTCTTAAATCATCTTAAACGTTGTGCGTTGAATTCTCCAATTGAAAATAAATTCATGTTTCCTCACTGAATTTAGTTCTGTTTTCCTTGTACAAAATTTCAAATACGGATTTATCCCATTATCATTTTCCTACATTTTTTGTACAAGGTTCTGTTGAATTGTGCTTCATGGACTTTTAGAGGCTTCATGATGGAGAGTATCTAGACAAATTAGCGCTGCATAGACACTTGGACAAATACCATTACATCTTCAATAATGGTTCTAGGATTGAGGACAAAGAACAAAAGAGGCACTTCTGTTCAAGTTGATTACCTTGTCCATTTACAGGAAATTAAACCTTGGCCTCCATCGCAGTCTCTCAGATCCCTTCGGTCTGTACTGCTTCAATGGGAAAATGGTGATAGGAACTCTGGGTGTACTAACCATGTAATCCCCTCCCTTGGGTCTGGTGTTGGGGATGGGAAAATTGAATTTAATGAATCTTTCAGGCTTCCCGTTACTCTTACTAGGGAAGTCTCTGTAAAAGGTGGGGATGCTGAGACATTTCAGAAGAACTGCTTGGAATTCAACTTGTACGAGCCTCGAAGGGATAAGACAGTGAAAGGTCAACTCTTAGGAACTGTCATAATAGACCTGGCAGAATATGGAATTGTTAAAGAAACCGTATGCATAAGTGTTCCAATGAACTGCAAGAGAAGTTTTAGGAACACAGCTCAACCGGTTCTGTTTGTTAAAATTCAGCCATTTGAAAGAAGCAACTCCAGCTCCTTACAAAGGGAGCGGTTGTCAAAGGAAGTGCCATCAGACAAGGATGGGAAGGAATCAGTTTCTGTCCTAATGACTGAAGAATATGCTGAGGAAGCTGAGATCGCCTCCTTTACTGACGATGATGTTTCATCACATTCTTCCTTGACTACTTCCTCATCCACCTTTGATGCTGCTGGAAGTTCACCACTTCAAAATGAAGAGGTATTCTTATTTCTTATGATCATTAGTCTTGTATTTGATTTATCAAATACCTTTGATATTTTTTTTTTTAAGTTGATCTATCCCATTTGGTAGAATATGTATGGACAGTGTTGCAGGAAAGTGGATGAATTGCAAATTTCCTTGCTCCTATTTGCTAATGTTGTTCATTTGTTCATCCTAATAAAAGATATTTTTAAAAGATAATTAAAATTATAAAATCAGTTTTTAAGGATTTAGGGATTAAGAATTTTAAGACCCTAACATGGATTTTTTTGGGCTTGCTTCAAGGGGCTTGGCACAAAGACAGCTTGTAGAATTAAGAATGAAAGATGTAACATCACATTAATCATTTGAAATAATGCAATTGAGAAAGAAATATAAAAATTATAAGTCTGACATGCTTGAATATGTTTTGCATGCTATTTTTATTTTATTTTTGCAGTTTTCACTTTGAATATGTTTATTTATTTCAATTTGAGCTAATAGGCTTTTTTAAAGCATTTAATTTAAAATTAAAATTTGATTTTTTAATTAATATATTTTTTAATATTTTCTTAATTATTTTGAATTTTCTACATCATTTTGCAATTTCTTTATTTCCTTTTAAAATTTTGCACCTTGATTAAAAAAGGTGCATGCCTCACCTTGTGCCTTGCACCTCAGGTGCATAATGGCCTTTGTGCTTTTTTGGCACCTTGCGCATTTGAAACACTGTTTCGCATGGTTAGGCTTAGGCCAGGAAAATATTGTTAAAAGCCCTAAAAAATGTTATTATATTGGATAATTATGAACCTTTAAATTGTCCTTGCATGTGGCTTTGGAGATTTCCTAGGTGGAAAATATCAGGTTGTGTTACTGAACCTCTGAAACCCTGCTAGTGTACTGCTATGTTTGTTTAGGTTCTACCATTTAACATGATGAAATATATCAAACTTTATCTTTGTTACTGTACTCAAGGGTGTTAGATAATTCCTAATAAGTTAGGTTCAATTGCAGAATGCATCAGAGTCGGTGAAGAATGGTGTAGTAAGTCATAATGAGGTAGCTGCTGTACCTCTAGAAAAGATACCTGCAAAACCGGAGGTGAAAACACCTACTACACCATACACACATCTGAAGGGGAGTTTGCCCCGTTCATCATCAGTAAACTTGTCATCTGATCTGGGAAGTCCAGAGAATGGCCATGCTTCTTTGTCCAACTTCCAGCAGAGTTTGGCATCAACCTTGAAAACATCTATTATGGATAGTGATCAATCTTCATCCAGTGCTTATGAGAGTGTGCAGGAAGAGGTAACATCCAGCAATAGCACAAAAAACCTTGACCAGGATGAAAAAGTTATTCAAGAAATTACCAATGTTATTGCAGACAAGGCTTCATCCTCAAATCCAGATTTGCATAAGGATGAAAAAGCTGGGCTTGTAACCATTGTCAAGAATGAAGTCAATGAGAAGGATGATGGAGAAGCTAGGGAAAATATCAAAGATAGACCACAGGGTGGTACAACAATTAATGATCAATCTGCAAATTGTATGGGGGAGAAAGATGGAGAGCAATCAGGAGAAAATGGAGAGGACAAACAAATAGAAAAGGAAAAAAACCATTCTACAGAGGATGAGGCTTTTAACAGATCTTCACTAGAGGCTACAAGGAAGCAAGTGGCATCTGGGAGTAATACAATTACTTTTAGCGGGAGATCACTTGGAATGAAGGGTAACATCCAGAATATTGATAGGCTAAAGCATGTGAAGTCTGTTCGGTCACCCTTAGAGTCTTCTAGGAGCAATGGATTTTCAAATGGTAATCAATTAATGGAAGAAGTAAAAGAAGTTGATAGTTTGGAAGACACTCTTAGTGGTTCTAGGAATTCAATTACAGCTGAAAGAAACAATGCTGAGGCTGCTTTTAGAGAGATCCTAAACTGCCAGTCTAAGGTCCAACAACTGGAGCATAGAGTTGAAAGCCTTGAAGCAGAGTTGAGAGAAGCTGCTGCAGTTGAGATTGGACTTTACTCCGTGGTGGCGGAGCATGGGAGTTCTGTGAATAAGGTCCATGCTCCAGCTCGACGCCTTTCTAGGCTGTATCTTCATGCTTGTAGAAAGTGGTCCAAAGAACATAGGGCAAGTGCAGCTAGAAGTGCCATTTCAGGATTAGTTATGGTAGCAAAAGCATGTGGAAATGATGTTCCCAGGTTTGTACTAATTACACAAGTGAATTATTCTGGTTCAGTGGTTTAAACAATGCAATCTTTTTTTTTTTGAAGAGTAACAGCACAGAATTTTATTAGTGGTGGCAATGCACATCCTTACATCAACTCCTTTAGATGAGCTTATGCACTTCCATATTGGGCACTCAGAAAATGCTACTGCAATCCAAGCACTTAACATACTTAACTGTCCTGTAACCAGAACTTGATCCTCTGGAAAGTTATATGGGTTCTATTTCTTACGTACCTAGATGGATAAGTGGAGAACTAGAAAGGATAGGGTGATAAAATGAAGCCATTTAAAGGAACCTCAAAGTAACTCCAATGGGTGGCTTCCAATGCAGTATCCAGTATTGTATCAGATATTTATTGTTCCAACACTGGTACACTAGACATACAAAGTTCTCCAGGTATCATAGCTAATATCTCCAGACCAGATCATTAAATATTATAATAAATGACAAACGATCCTGACAATGTTTCGACTGATTGGATGGTTAGATCATCTAATGGATGTGATGCTTTGGGAATCTGGTCTGCCCAGATTTCCTGAAAGACAAATCTTCCACTTTATAAATGTGGAACTGTCAGGGTTTGATAGTTTCTAAGGGTGCACCATTGAATTTATTTCGTCTGATGCTCTAACTGATTAAGCTTTCTTCTGAATGCAGGTTGACATTTTGGTTGTCAAATTCAGTTGTCCTAAGAGCAGTTGTTAGCCAAGCTGTAGGGGAACTTCAGCTACCAGTTTCTTCTGGTCCCCACATTGAATCTAATGACAGTAAAAAGGAAAATGATAAGAGATCTTCGTTGAAATGGAAAGACTCCTCTCTCAACAAGAAAGAGAAAATTTTTGGTTTATCTGAATGCTTTGATGACTGGGAAGACCCAAAGACATTTACAACTGCATTGGAAAAGATTGAAGCCTGGATCTTCTCCCGAATAATTGAATCTGTGTGGTGGCAGGTCAGTTCCTAATAATTTTGCACCCCTCTCTACTAATATATGATATCTGTTTTTTTAGATTAAGCATCCTTATTACTAGTATCTATCTGACCTTGTTGACTGCTTGTTTCTCCAGACTCTGACTCCACATATGCAACCAGCTGGGAGAGCAAGTGAAATAAGTAGGGGGTCAAGCTCAGGGAAAAGCTATGGATGGAGGTCTAGTTTGTGTGATGAAGATCAAGGAAACTTTTCTTTAGATCTTTGGAAAAGGGCTTTCAAGGATGCCTGTGAAAGACTTTGTCCTGTTCGAGCTGGAGGCCATGAGTGTGGCTGCTTGCCTGTATTGGCCAGACTGGTAATTATCTATATGTTTCATTTAGAGGTCCATGTCAAGTGCCTATCATGTTATTTGTGATCACGACATGAAAAGAAAAATGGGCACATAATTTCAAGTAAACTATGTGGTGGAAGTCTAAAGGACTAGATGGTATGCACCTTGTGCTTGTCTTTGATGATAGCTCCCTGCCTGCATAAAGCATCGATTGTTCTCCATCTTGTTCCCAGTTTTCTCTACCAATTAAATTCATGTCACAGGAATTATCTGATGGTACAATGAAGCTACCCTTCCCATACTATGGACCAACTAGGCACATGCCATATTTTCAGGGTGCTTGCTTGCCAACCAAATGGGCCAAACCAAGGAAATCTTCCATCTTGAAAAATGACTTAACAAGACAATCCTAGCTGGATCACAAATTGAAATTTGCCTCAGTTGCTTTTTGACAAAAAAAAAGTAGTGCATCTAATTTTATAGTCATGTGGGGAAGCTATAGTTAGCCTTTATTGTGTCCCAAGCAAGTAATTCAGATAATGCAGATTCACAAGCAATGTGCAAAATGACCATGAGATAGGTGCTATCAAGCTATGCTACTATCTCATCATTACCCTTTTACTGGTAGATGAAAATATATTATGGTAGAAGCACATTGTGCATTTATATGTACAATTGTAGGGTTCATTTCTTATATTGTACTGAACTGTTGCTGGCCTTTCTGAAACAATACTCATGTACTGATTATCTTTCTTCCTAGGAATAACTAAATCTCTCTCTCTCTTTCTCGGTTCTAAATATAGCCCTGAGATGTTTTTCTTTCCATGCATCCAGGTGATGGAGCAATGTGTGGGTAGATTTGATGTGGCCATGTTTAATGCCATTCTTCGTGAATCTGCTGATGAGATTCCAACAGATCCAATCTCTGATCCCATTAGTGATTCCAAGGTTCTCCCTATTCCAGCTGGAAAATCAAGCTTTGGTGCTGGTGCACAACTGAAAAATGCTGTAAGTGGTTCGTGTCTTGGGCAGTTCATTTTGCATCCAAATTATATTTCACCAAGGTAGTTCATAAGTTCATTCTTGTAGAAATCACCTTTCTCTTAGGGTCTGTTTGGTTCACAGTTGGAATTGGAATTGGAATGGTCTATAGTCTGTTTGGTTCAGACAGGAATCGGAATGGGAATTGAAATCAGCTGGATGGAATTTCTTTCCCAAGGGAGGGGGAGGGAATAGCCATTCCCTCAAATGGGGGAATGCCATTCCACCAGGAATGGGAATGGGATTCTGATTCCACCAACCAAACAGTTGGAATTGGAATTGCCCATTCCGATTCCAATTCCGGACCCCTATTCCTGCAAGCCAAACTGGCCCTTATTTCTTTAGAATCACAAGACATCTTTTTATGCTCTCATGGCCCCACTCTTAGAGACTGCTGGGTATAAACCAAGCATACATGAGAACCTCAACAAATGCCCCAATACAAGCCCTGGTATAAACCATCAGTTATGCAGGTTAGATATTAGAATAAGATCCAGAGCATGCTAAATTTGATAAGAAATATCCTTTGTGCCTTTGGGGCAAAATTGACCAAGTTTGATACAAAACATTTTTCTTATGAACTGTTTGCCATAACTCAGTGTTGCAATAAGGTAATAGATCAGATGGTTATGATCATTGGCTTGAATTCCCACTATAAGAAATCTACAATGTCTGATTTCTTCAAGTATGGGCCCAGCCCAATCATATTCCATGTATCCTTCATTGTGCATAGCACAGAATATGTTCCCTTTAGCTTTTTAAGGCACTTCAGCTACTTGAAGCCATAAAATAAACTTGGCAGTGTAAAAGAACCAAATATGCTCTTAATTGATGGATTGTGGTTTTACTTATTTGTTGGATAACAGATTGGGAACTGGTCAAGATGGCTAACTGATCTATTTGGTATGGATGATGATGACTCACCTGAAGATGAGAATGGATTCCATGATGAAGACAGACAGGAATATGATACATCATTCAAGTCTTTCCATCTCCTTAATGCATTGAGTGATCTCATGATGCTCCCAAAGGACATGCTTTTGAACAGGGACATAAGGAAAGAGGTTCACCTGCTAACTCTTACCCTTAATTAAGTCTTTTCCTTCAACTATTTTTCTTTTCCACTAAACTACATTTTTTGTTTTGAAAGGTATGCCCTACATTTGGTGCACCTTTGATCAGGGGGATTCTAAGTAATTTTGTCCCAGATGAATTTTGTCCTGATCCAATTCCAGAAATTGTGCTTGAGGCCCTGGATTCTGAGGTTAGTTTGCCAGAAGCTCTCCCCTTATTTCTCTGTCTAATGTTTCCTACTAGTATACATGGAGACTATGTTCAGTTGCTTTCCAATTACTTCCTGTTCTTCTATGTATGATGATTATTCGCTAGAATATCTATAGATGATGTTGGCAAGACCTTATCGTTGACCGACATACTAGTTGTTAATAACAAGTTTTAATTCTGTGTAGGCATATTTAATGCAGAGTTGCATGTACGCATTATTAGATCTATAAAGTACCATGGTACCAAAGAACAGACTGACGTCTATAGCATGTACTGAGGTGTTCATACATGTATTTCCTAAGATGATGTTTATTTTGGTCCTACCATAAGAAATTGACAGTATCTCAACCCCATAAAGCCTATAAGGACAAAAGGTTTAACAATGTGTTAACACACCTAAACCCTATATGTAAGACACCCATTTAGTTCTGTCCTAGTGTTATTTTGTCGCCGAGGTTGTTATGATAGTGAGCTAGCATTTATTCCAGAAAAAATGATCTCAAAGATTTTAGACGTGATGTCAGTTGAAGGCCATTATGTTTTCCCTGAATTTACAGGATAAGATTTGATTCTCTCACTACCATTCTTCACAGTTTTTCTTAATGTACAAGTATTTTTCTACAGGATCCTCTAGAAGCCGAGGAAGAGTCTCTGAAGAACTTCCCATGCAATGCAGCACCCATTGTGTATGCACCACCTTCGGCAGCTTCTCTTTCAGGTTTCATAGGAGAGGTAGGAAGCCATTCCCAATTGCGAAGGAGTGGGTCTTCAGTGCTCCGGAAATCCTACACCAGTGAGGATGAACTTGATGAATTGGATTCACCCCTGGCTTCAATCATCGCAGACATCTCACGAGTTTCTCCTACATCGACAGTCCCGAGTTGGAAAATGAAGGAAAATGGTGGTCGGAATACGGTCAGATATCAACTCCTCCGGGAGGTATGGAGGGATGGTGATTAGCTACAACCTATACGTAAGTATGTTTTATCAATCACAGGTATATATAAATAAATACGTGTTTGTACTATATTTTATTCTGATTTTTTTTGTAAATCTTGATGCTGTTCGAGTTATAAGAGATGTAGACAACATCGCTCTCCATGAGCAGTCTCAGACCGGACCGGATGGTCTGTCTTTTAGTTAGAATTTTCAAGCGCAAGTTCAGTTTCAGACTTTCAGACATTAAGCAGCCCACAACGTCCTTAGAAACTTTTCTTTTTTGGTAACTAAGCAATAAAATTTTTAGTTCAGCATTTTCAACTGTTATCAAACGGGCTACCAAGGGATTACTTAAATATACCCCTGTGATTTCAGGAAACAACCTTTAACTTTAATAGATAAAACATTAAAGGACAAAGCTACCCTTAATCGTTCTTTAAAATGTCAAAAGATGTCCTGTTCCTGTGTGGTAGTACAGCAATCTTTCGATGTTGTGAAATGCATATTATACAGGATACTCAAAACATCTTTGGCAACTGGCAAGCTTAACATGATGCATTTGTCTGCAAATCCAATTAATTAATTTTTTAGGTAAAATATTAAGTCATTCATTACTAAAGGATAACAAAGGTTCAAAACTACAACCAGACCTCAATGAAGACAAGGAATCAAGCCAAATTGGCGGGGACCAATGGACCATAACTAAACCACATCAGGACATCTACTTCCAGCTGACACATGAGTCATGAGCTACAGAGTTCAGATTTTTACTCACAAACATCCATTTAGCACCACAAAAACTATTAAACTCTTATTCATCAAAAAAAAAAAAAAAAACTATCTAACTCTTCTACAATACTATTTTATATATATATATATATATATACAAGGTATACACACACCGCAGAAACTGAACACCTAAAACGTCAGGCAGAAGATGTCTGAGCTCCCGATTATCAGATGGCGATCCTTGCAACTCTCCCTCATGTCCTTTATTTGCTAACCAATCAGCGACTTGATTGCGGATGTGGTTGTATGAAACTAAAGCTCATGGTGATCCTTTATTTGCATCCTCCACTTCCAAATAAGAATTCTCATTATCTTGGTAGTCCAAGTTCCACACTCCTTCAACGCTTCTATGGTAGTTTTGGAATCGCCTTCAATAAGAATTCTCTCTGCCTCTAAATCTCTTAGGAATAGGGGTGTCAATGTACCGGTTTTGGATTGGACCCCGTCCAAACCAAAATCAATTTGGATGGATTGGATGGACCAACAAGACATTGAATTAATGGTCCAAAGTATTTATTGGATTGGGTTGGACCTGGTCCATCCGTAATGAATTTATATTGGATTGAATTAGATTGAGCCAATATTTGGTCCATTGATAGAAGATAAGAATATAGGTATCAATGGATCAGGTTTGAGTCAAAATTAATCTAAATTAAAACAAATTTGTAACTGTCTGGATGGTCCTGAATTGGACCGATCCAAATGATCCAAAAGATTCATTGGATTGAATTGGACCTGGTCCTTTTGTAATGGACTCACATTGGACTGGATCGGATTCGACCAAATCCAGTCCAATTGACACATCTATTTAGGAATTTATGGGCTTCAAAGGCAGCCCTCATCTTTGCTGTGGCTATTGTGGATGATCCACATCTGCTTGCACCCATTTTAATCACTTCTCTATTGTGATTATAGATTATAAAACCAAAGTCACACATGTTATTAGCAATGTTTTCAACCTGTCATTGACCTGACACACCAGTCAAATCATTCGAACTGTTACCCAACCAAGATTTCAAGTCTGGATTAGTTAAGACCCACCAAACAGTCAATACCGTTGACTTGGTCAAGAACCGTTTCACGCAGTTGGCTCAACCATTGATTCGTTCGACCAAGTGATTGATCGCGGGGCATACTCAATGCATACAAACTTTCGGAGATCTATGAAAATCCATTGATTCGTTCGGAGCCAACTTTCGGAGCTGTGATTGATCGTTCGACCAGTTGGCTCAACCATTGGCTCAACCATTGATTCGTTCGACCAAGTGATTGATCGCGGGGCATACTCAATGCACTCCGATGTTTGACTGGGGAGATTTTTTTTTTAATTTTGGGTAACTTTTCGAGATCTATGAAAATCCACTTTTTTACCTCAAATTGCAATTTTTAATATTTTTATAAACAAAAAATAAAAAATGTAAATAAATATAAAATAATACATATAACATACCTAAAACATATTTATACATTATTTATTGCTAAAATATATATTTACACACACACATCGATGATGTGGCATGGTCCGAACTGTTTGAATTGGTGATTTGCGACCCGGAGGCAAAAACGGTTCGGCCTTCGGGTTGGTTTTTAAAACATTGATTATTAGTAGACGTGTAAATCGGGCTGTGTTGCTTGTGGCTCGGCACAATGGTTGAACTAGCCATTGGGGACCCCCCCCCCCTAACGGCTAGTTTCAACTTTTTGGAGGGGTTTTTTTTATAAAAATACCCCAACAACTATAAACAGCTATAGGGGGTATTTATGTATTTTGGTTTGGGGGGAGAAAGAATGACACAAATCCCTCTCAAGAGATATATAATGGCTAGTTGGGGGGGGCATTTTGGGTAAAGTGATAAATAACTTTACAATGACCAAAATACTCCTTCCAAAGGAGGGTATGACACTACACTTGATGTTTAACCTAAAGCAGATGATCAAAGTCAAGAACAATAGGAGAAAATGATGAAGTCAATATTTTTTTATATACTCAATAGTTGTATAACATTTTTTTTCAAATTATTGTAAATTTTGTTTTAATTTTATTTAATTTATTTGATATTTTTAACAGCATTATTTTTTATTTTCAATTTGTAACTATATTGTATTTTTTATATTTTATTAATTTATTCATTTTCCAATTTTCAGGTTCATTCATCCAACCATTATATGTTTTGTATCATTCAAATTTAAATGAAATAAAATTCCTATTTTTCTTCCAATTTGTTATTCACTTTGAGTCATTGTCTCTTTTGACTTCTTATTTGGTTAAGTGTTTTTTTTTCATTTCTTTGTTAGATTTCTTATTTTTTTTCAAATAGTTTCCGAATGAAAGTTAAATATTTTAGTTTTACTTAGCAAAGAAATGAAAAAAAATCAAAAATGTCAAAAAAAAATAACTAGTTTGGCCCAATTTGGCCCACGCCCAAGGCCTGACCTGTAGCCCGCCTGGCCCAAGCTCGTGGCACGACGCAACACAGCACGGGCTTAGGCTGTGGGCCGGGTTGGGCCGACCCCCCAAATTATCCCTAGGGAGGGTAGCACGGCCCGTAGTTTGCACGGGCCACAGGTGGGGCCTGGCACGGCCTGTTTTACACCTCTACTTATTACACAGTTTTGAAGCATCGAAGTTTATCTTCAACTCTCCCGATTTTGGAAGGAGTACAAATGCAAATTTATAGAGTGCAAAACCTTGTATTTTGCGTTATTTTGTATATATTTGTATTGTACATATTTGGTTCAGCTCCAAACTGAGCCTAAGAATACAGACTCTTTGTAGCAAAACATTGTTGGTAGCTCCCAGCAACACCGCTCGATCTTTATATCTGATTGCTCTCGGGTCCTATAGGTTGGATTTGGACTCACCATCTCCGCCATCTCTTGAATTAACCTGTTAGTATAGTTGAGAGGTACAAATGGATTAGTCAGCATTCCAAATATATATATATATATATATATATATATATATATATTACAGGTATTCAAACAATTAGACCGTCTACGTTAACAGTGCCATAGTGGGTTGAAAACATTGGTTCAAACCGGCAATGCATATTTGAGCCCTTGAAAAACTCCGAGCATGTCTAAGTTAATTTATGAAACCTTAGTGTATGTTTTAAGTCCTTTACCCTTATAATTTTTTTCATTTTAAACTTATTTTTTGTATGTAAAAAAAGCTCTAAAAGAAAATTTAATTAAAATTATTTGTTAATTTTAATTTTATTGATTTTTTTAATGATTAAGTTGAAACCTGATGTTGGACTGTTCGACCTGTGACCCGCACGAAAACGGTTCCATCTGGTCTGAGTTTGACAACACTGGTAAAGGGTGCCCTAACGAGCCTTAGAAATATGAAGTATCTCTGATATAGAGTTCTTCAGCAAATGAAGATTTCAAGAGGGAATAAATAGGTAGGTCAGAGTTCTTCTTCAAATTTCCTTTGAGGCTGTGTTTAGTTTGAAATAAAAGATAGGAAACCCCTTCCTTTCCTTACTTTTTCTTTCAAACTAAACACAGCTTTACTTCTTCTAACAACAAGGAAATGAATTTCCGTTTTAGCCAAGGCCTCGTCATTATAAGTTTTCAGCCAATACCTGTGATATTGTTTTTGAAAAATAAAATCTTTCATACTTTCCAAAATCCTCTAAAGTCCTATTTGTTTTCCATAAAGTTATTTACCCGGATAAATGCACTTATTTGGGCAAGTACATTTACCTATATTTTTTTATTTCTCAGATAAATAAGAAAATGATCGTTTAAGCTATAAAAAAACATTATTAAAAGGGGCAACTTTCCTCCGGATGAGAAAGGTTATTTATTCACTTGAAAGATCGGTATCACTTACCTGGTCAAGTGATACCTAGAGAAAATAAATTTTTCATAGACCCCACATAAATATGAAAAAAAAACATAGGTATCTTGTTTTGAACCAAAATCCCATTGGCCAACTTTCCGTCTTCAATCCAACAAATGCTACATTTTGATTTAATGGTGAACTTCAATTAATTCTAAAAGGACAAGCTGGTTCCCCGTAGGCCTGTGGGCTGGATTTAGCTGGAGCCTAAACTTAATTTCAATTCCCCTCTATAATCTATAATGATCCTCATATGCTAAAAAAGGGCCAGACAAATCCAACTTTGCCCCCTTAATACTAAGGCCCCTTTCGCTTTTAGGTAAGTTACTTACCCTGGTAAATATATTTACCTAGGTAAGTGTTTCCCAGTAAAGACTTAACCGGGTAAGTGCCTTTATCTATGTTCTTTTATTTCTCATGTAAATAAGGTAATGATCATTTTAGCCATAAAAATCTATTATTAAAAGGGACATTTTTGTCTAATTAAAGTATTGACAATTTTTCCCACAAGATGGAAAGTTATTTACCCACCTAGGAGATAGATATTGGTCCTCACATAAATCTGAAAAAAGAACATGAGATTATTTGATTCCCATTGACTAACTTTCCCTCTCTCAAGATCCAGAAAAAAAATGTCCCTTAAATAGGGATTCGACAATGCGCTTATAAGCCTTAAGTCTCATGTTTAATAGCCCTAGCCCAACAAGAGAGAGAATATTCTGAATTGATAACCTTCTTAAAACTAGGGTTTCAAATTTGCTTGAATTACCAATCTTAGAGTTCCATGCTTCAACTAATACCACGAACCAGGGAATAAAATCGGTGGGTACGTTGTTGCGGCTGATGAGTTGAACGGTTAAAGGGTACTACTTTGGTTAAATTTCAGAAACTATGCATCCGAGCTTTGTGCTTCCCTGAATGATTTTGCCTCTGACCCAATGGGTGATAGAGGCATAGTTACTTAAACTATGCATCCAAGCTTTGTTTCCACAACCCTTGTAGAAAAGCATAGAGTAATCAATGGGAGATAGAGTGAATTTATATACTTATAAGGATAACTCAGAATGAGATAAAACCATAGTTGCTTAAAGTTGGGAGCTTTGAAATATAAGCAACATGAGTGGTGGTCGGTGGGGTTGGGTGATTCTATTGGAATGAGCCCTACTTTTGCCGGCAAACTGCTGTTTCTCCTCAACCCCGCACAGTGCAGTGCAATCCTCAATCTGCAGCGGGGATGGCGCATGAGACTTGCCTTTGCCCTTTTGAAGAATGCGAGTGCTGCGTGCGTTTGTCATTGAACCGAACCTCGCCCCAATGAAGATTCCTTATCCGATTTGATGGGACGGGCACTACCGCACCTACACCGGTGTCCATGGTTTTTAAAACCGATCCGGTGATTGAACCGGTCAGGGGTCCGGTTACTGACCCAAATGGTTGGACTGTTTTGACAAAAAATAAAAAAATTAAAAAATTGAAAAACGGTCAAAACTGTTCAAATGGTTAACTGGCCGGTTCAACGATTTGTTGATCAAAATCAACGATTTTGGGGAAAAAAGGAATTGATTCTTGGTTTTTCTGGTCCGACCATCTGGTCTGATCCAATTTTGAAAACCATGCCGGTAACAATTGAGATATGTGTGTCTGCAATTTAAAGCGGATAGGAAATATAGATTCATTTTCAAATGAGATTTTCTATTCACTTTTCCTACCCACTCTCTACCCGTCTTAGGTTGCAGCCATACATCTCTATTTTGAGTTGAGAGATCTGTAGATGCAATTCACAGCGGATAAGAGTGAATAAGAAAAGTGAGTGGGAAATCTGAGTTCAATACATTCTACAAACCAAATCAGTGGTATCGGTTTTTCCATTTCTCCAAGCCAAATTCGAACTAATACCACCGGTTAACTGGTCTGTCGGTTTCAGTTTCTGACCAGTTGGGTTTTTATATTTATAATATATTATATAAATATAAATATATATAATATTATATTAAAAATAATAAATGATATATAATATATTATAAATATTTTAAAAATATATAATATATTTATGAATAGATTATTATAAATATAATATAAGTATATATATATATACCGGTTAATTAGATTAATTGCTAATTTTTTTATAGAATAACCAAAATCCGAATCAATCCTTCGATTTTTCAAAAATTTCAAATCGAACCAGTTCTTTGCGACTTGGTCTTCTCGGTTCTATTCGGTTTTTAGGTTTTTCATGGACACCCATATTCCACACCACACATATGACACGTGCCACGTGCTTCATGGATCTTGGTGATGTGATCAAAATAATTTCTTCAAATTCTGGAACGATTGCATGAGTCCAGTAGTAGCTCACTCTCTCACTCCTTTTGGGCTTTGGGCTGGGGAGCATGCGTATGTCAGCCTTCCCTTGCTAACTCCGGATCCACTCCATTTGAACTACAAGGGATAAATTGGCTTTTTTTATAACCAAAAAACTGTAAAAGAAAAGAAAAGAACAAATCCATTTGTACCTAACTTGTGAGTGAATCAGTGAATGGCCCCCCCATAAGCACCAATGAAAGACAAGGCAACTGATCCCATTTTTTTTCAAGAAGATATTTATTAGAATCCAAACGCAGTGGATTCGGAGTGAACCTTGCTGCTCAACTATTATAAGAAAGAAAAACATGGTGGTGACAGGCAGTCAGAGAGTGTAAACATATCAAGAAACCATGATTGATTCTCTCGTTCATCATATTTCTCTCTCTCTCTTCCACCTGACTCTGCTATTCTTGTCCGAGCGTCTTGAAGAAATAAATTAAAACAGAAAATGGTCGGAAATGACGATTAGTTCTAGATCTACCACTGATGTTATTTACTTATTTTCCCTTTTCTTTCTTTCGAATTCCGGCTTCATCAACATCAACTGCCTGGTGCCTACTTTCCTTTTGTCGGGATAATGTGGTTCTGCTGTCACTACTCACTAGGAACATTGATCGAGATATAGAATTGCATAAAAAGGAGGATCCTGATCATCCAATAAAAGACAAGATGAGTCAGCCAGCTGCAGATTGAATTTGATCCAACGATCAAACCCAAAGCAGAAGGAATTCGACTCATTTGTGACAACTGACAATGAGATGGTGATCAGTTGATCACCAATCACCATTGCTCGTTGAATTATAAATAGGTAGTTTATTTGAGGTGCTCGACGTTTTACACTTTTTTAATATATTGGGCAGTTATCACCGTTGGAAAAGTTAAGATATTTGAGTCAAAGATTTCGATCTCTTCTTTGACCGGACCCACTCTGAAGTTATCTTCAAAATCACTCACTCACACACGGATTTTAGAGTTTTTTTTTTTTTCAGGTTTTAATAATCATTTATTTATATGACGATGACATGATATACCATGATAGTAGTAATGGTGGAAGTGCTATTATGGCTTCTTTGCTTATAAGTGGCTAAGTGCCCTTTTGAAAAGGCTGAAGCACAGCGAGTCCGGATCTGCTCGTCATACACCACGCTTCACACCGATTTCACAATATGTCCTAACTCCTAACCCATAACATTTTTCTTATATGTATTCATTATTCATAATCTTAACTCCTAACTCATAACATTTTTCTTACATGTATTTATTATTCATAAGAAGATATTCTTAATACAGGGCAGGGTAGGATATAACTGTAAGATCGGTGTAAGACGTGTTGTGTGATGAGAATATCTCAAATTCAAGTGCAGCGGCTTCTTAGCTTTCTGAGTCTGCCTTTTTTAAAGCAACTTAAGCTGAATCATCAATCTACCCTTCCTAAGGGAGTCTGGCTTCTCTTAGGGTAGATGTATGCACCGTTTGCACCCGAGATCAGCTTCAGTCAGTGCAACATCCGTTCCAATAGCCTTTATAGCGTGCAGGAAGCTAATCGAAGGATATTAGCATGGACTTGCACTGACCGAAGCCAAACTCGCTCGCCCCTGATTCTTTTGTTGAAGCGTATTCACCAGCGTGAGCACCCAGTCCACGGTAATCCCCCAAGCCGGCCGACCACTTATTTATATTAATAACTACTGTTAATCAGTTTTTATTGACGTCCTCCACCGTGTTAAGCAAAAGCCGGTCGGACCTCAAGCAAAAAAGAGATAGATCTCTTTCAAGAATCCGCCATTAAATCTCTCGGGGAGCTCAAGAAAAGTCCCAGGAGATAGAACCTTGTAAATCACATTAAGTGGCTCCACCAACATAGATACTCTGCGACAACCCCGATGATTGTTGGAACAGAGTACGAGCTGGAGCTACACCTCGAATCTTTCCATTGGTCCTCTAACTCTAAGCAATGAAGCCGCCTCATGAGCTGCCGACCGGATATCAACAATAAAACTTCCTCATGAACTTGCAGACCGCCTTCTAGGCTGTAACGCCGCAACGTCATAGGCAGTGGCTGCCAACTCCGGCGTTTCGAAGTTATCAAATCAAATTCTCGTTTTCACGTATCTCCGACACCCATTTCCCCATTTCCGCCTCCAAACGGCGAGGGTTGTAGCAGCGGTTCTGACGGCGTTATTGTTTGGGCGATGGAGATTCAGGCACTCGTTGGGGCGGTTCAGTACTGTGTAGGGACGGTAGGGAGGGAAGAGAAGAGAAGAGAACACCGGCGACTGTTCAACACATCATGTTATAAATTTATCCTAAAAAAGTCGCTTTACATAAATCCGTTTATTTCCCCTTTTCTCATTCTAGGTTAGATTTACTTTATAAATTTATCCTATAAAATTATCCATCAGTTTTCTCCGGTCATCGGTGAAAACTGTTGGTCGCTGCTGATCGGAGAGGGAGAGAGAGGAAAAACGTGTGGCGCGTCTTCATTCTGCGCGAACGATGCACGCATCAACTGTGCCCTGATAGAAGCCGGACCCTCCCGAACGGGCCCGTATGTTATAATATGGAGGGAAACATGATTCGGTGTGAATGGAATCATAGGGACTACAGTATAACCAGTGGTCTTGCTCTTCGATCTTTTCCTTCAACAAAATCAACGAATTCTTTATTGTGGTTTGTAAATTGTAATACAATACAATGCACACTTTGCAATGTGGGCCCAAACAGAGTCCCCAGTATGATGGGCCCTACCATTAACCCGGGTACTCCGGTACTCCCTGTATATTTTTAACCATAGTCAACCAAACAAACCTTCTCTAATAAAGAGGCACGCCATTGGCCATCCTCCCCCCTACCACCTGGATCACTGTTTTCAAGGTTTCTCTCACTCTCTTTCAAGAACTCCGAGACCCGGAAACAGAGAGAATAACCCGAGGTGCAGACTGCAGAGGGTTAGAAGTTAGAATCCATGGGAGTTCTCTCTTGACTTCCGGTGCCTCAAGTTCCAGACAAAACTGCCGGAAAACCTGTCGGTCCGTCCCATAAAATGACGGTCTTCGGTCACTCCGGTGGCAGTTTTCTTGCGGGAAAACAGGTTTTTCCGGTTGATTGTCAGACGGAGGTATCTCAGCGTCTCGTGGAAGCCTCGCACATTGGAGATCTGAATTCAGCATTAGAATGCATCGCCGATCCCTGCGTCGACGTGAACTTCATCGGTGCTGTTTCCCTCAAGTCGAGGAAGACAGAGGTCCTGCTACATGGTGAATCCGCAGATGAAGTTCGGATCGAGTACGAGGAGTTTAAGACCTACGTCACGCCGTTGTTTCTCGCAGTTCATACTGGAAACCTGACGCTGGTTCGGAAACTACTGGTAAGCCGTAAGCTTATCTGTTTTCCTATTTCATTTATCTCTCATATATTACACCTAGTGTGGTTTTTTTTACATGGTTACTTCATTTATCTCCTTCATCATCTGCTGAGATTAGGATGTTTGATGGTTTTGGTCTCTGCTCCCTGCCATGCTTCTTCGTATTTGGTCTTTTCAGTCTAAGTTCAACTTGGCACCTCACATAGAGACAGAAGAGAGAGCATCTCTCCGTACGAGTTCTAAAAACATGAAATGTGGTTATTTCCATCTGCATTCTGTTCAAAATTTGAAATCAGGCTATTTTCTCGACAGATTTTGAATTATTCCTTTAAGCTGGACATTTGGACCGCCGGATCTCTCTTTGTTTGGTTGCGGAAATTTGCTAAAATTGGGAGAAGTTTTCGTCTGAGTGCTTTTAGCGGTCTTCGTCGTGATTTAGTTTTAAAAGTTACGAAAACGACGGAAGCTTTTTTTGAAGTTTTTTTAGCTAACATAATTTCCCGTTCCCGCGGCATTGTACTCGCAATTTGAAGCTTTTTTTTTTCAGCTAACATAATTTGAAGCTCATAATCTGTTTCTTCTTTTTTCATCTCGTTAGGCTTTTGAGATCAGTACAGGCTTTATGCCTCTTAAATCTTGCTATATCTTCATTAATTTCTTCTTGTTTTGTTTCTTGAACCGGCATTTGATATGATATTTCAACTATTTTAAATTTTTAATTGCTTATATTTCATTTTCTAAAAGTTATTTATTCTAGTGTTAATGTGCATTAATGAGTTTTTTTTCTTCAAGATTTTATCCCAAAAATAACAAGAAAAAAAGAACTGATTTCCTTGTCCCAAAATTATTCCGAGTGTCTCGTCCGAGAACATCGGGACCCAGCGTCTAATGGGTCCCAACCAACTCGATTGACTTTTTAAAGCTTCAAATTGGTCCTTGTCCTCCTAAAATTCCCTTGCGCTTTTACAGATTTGACTCTTCTTTCTTTTTAAAACTTTGCTCGTTTGGAGTAAATACATATAATTCATGGTCGAACGGAGTAGTCAGTCTAGCTCCAGCCTCGAGTGTTGTGTTGAATATTGGGCGGTGCGAATCGTATCTGCAAATCAAATAAAATCAACGTCTCTTCACTCTCGTGACCTTTAGCTCCTTCTCCAGTACCTCTCCAATTCACAATACAATGCATTGGAGTCTGGACACAAAAATGAAAAATGTCTTCACTCAGGTTTTTGTCATTTTTTTATTGTGGAGATATGTCTCACATGCCAGTGTTCGATCGATCGTTGTTTTGATTAAAGATCATCTCTGATATTCTGTACTCATATAGAGTTCGCTTTTTTAGTTTGAAATAATTTCTTTTTTGTTTGGATCATCGGCAGATCGTTCAATCGATTGTAAAGTAAATAATAGGAAAAACGTACAGGTTTATATAATAGAGAAATAGAGAATCGTCACGGCTGCCGTTTCATTTTTCTTAATCCTTTCTATCCAATTAAACAATGTTACCTCTGTTTTTTATGGTTTCTTTTTTCTTTTTTTTTCCCTCCATTAATTACCCTTGCACGAACGGATTCGAGTCGTGATCAGAACCCGGATATTGCCTAATATTATCAAAGTATGCGTGGATCTTGATCATCCAATCCACCGCATCTCACCGGACAAATGTGATAGTATTTTGCTAAAATCTCTGGAGACAAGCAATTATTTTTGTAAAAGATTGATAATATAATTACTAATATGATAGTATTTTTGCCTAATATTATCTAAGTGTGCGTGGATCTTGATCATCCAATCCACCGCATCTCACCGGATAATATGATAGTATTTTGCTAAAATCTCTGGAGAAAAGATATTATTTTTGTAAAAGAATTGATAATATGATTACTAATATCACATTAAAAAACCTCTACTTACTGTCAAAGTAGTGTACAAACAGCAGATGAAAGCAAACCCATAATTATATTTGTAGGATCAAGAATGCGTTTGTATCCTTTACCAAGAAGAAATAATGCATTTGCATCTGACCTTGACTGTACCCATCTCCCCATTCCGTGTTTTATCCTATCCCATTATCTACTTCCTACTACATAGTAAAATATCCATTTCCATGTTTCAAAGCTGTTTCATACAATCATGTACTTTTGTCCTGTATGATGATACCCTCCTCTACTCAACGAAAATCCAAGCTATACTCAACTGCTCTAGTTTTGTATTCACCATCTACATACCCTTTCTTGAAAAATTTCAATTTCATTCAAAATAAGTGGGTGCAACAAAGAAGAGAGAGTGCTGCTACCTTCTCTTGCTGTCCTTCGATTTTACTTAGGGTCTGGGGATTTTGATGGTGACAGAGCGTGGGTGCCGATGTGAATCAGAATCTATTTAGAGGCTATGCGACAACAGTGGCAGTGAGGGAGGGTTACCACGAGATCTTGGACATCTTGATCAAGGCCGGAGCGTCCCAGCCGGCGTGTGAGGAAGCACTCTTGGAGGCTAGTTGCCATGGACGGGCTAGGCTTGCGGAGCTTCTTATGGGTTCGGACCTCATCCGGCCCCATGTTGCTGTGCATGCGTTGGTCATCGCATGCTGCAGAGGGTTTGTGGACGTCGTGGACACCCTCATGAAGGTAAAAACCGTTTTCCCTATCCAAATGGGCGCCAACATCTTGCCACCATTCTCATCCATTCAATTTATCCCAAGGATTCACATCTGAAAGATGAACTTAATTGATGCCCGTGGTCTTTGTTTGGTCATCTTTCCTCATAACCTATTTGGAACCGGATCCATGAATGTGGGTGTGTTACCTCAGTCTCTTACCCGCATCTTGACGTGGACCTATTGATCAAAACCCATTTTATAAAATTTACTATTTGTTTTTTTTTTTTGAATTTTTTTTATTAACGACAATCATAGTGAGATAAAAGGAGATTATATGTCTTATTAAATGGCAGTGCTGGGTGGATGCGAATGCCACTGATCGAGTGCTGCTACAATCGTCCAGGCCTTCGCTTCACACAAACGTGGATTGCACCGCACTCGTGGCTGCCATTGTCAGCAGACAGGTCTCCGTCGTCCGTTTGCTCTTGCAGGTAAGCATTTAATTTATTAATTTTCTTTTAATTCCCTTGTTGCGGGGCGGGGCCCGGAGAGAGATCTTCAGTTATGCGGTGCGATTCTGGATACAATAATCAGGGTCACGGTTTGACACGCTTGTATCATTCCAATGGTTGGGCTGCTGTGCGGCCTACCGATTGGAGTTGAGAAAATTATAGCAGAGCACGTGAATTATGTATGTGGACTAATGGGACAAACCTGCTGCAATCTCAGCACAAGTGACGATGTCCAAAATCCAATTTATGGAATTATGAGAGTGTGGAACTCCCTATTTATCGGATCCAGATCTGAACCGAGTTGATCACGTGATCCCTTAGTGGGGGGCGCACTTTTAATGGCCCGTCTGGATCCTGGTCGATATAGTGGCGGTTTTCTCACGGGAGACTAGAGACGAAGAGAATGGTTGCATACCGGTCTACAGGATCTTGTTTCTGGGTCTGGGAGGACAAAATTACACAAATTTTAATTGGTCGAAATGTCTGTATTTTTACTGTCCATTTCCTACATGTATTGACTAAAATGCCCATTAGCAGCTGGCAGCCAACAGAATACCACACTATTAACATTTCCGTGGTGCTATAAAATACAAACAACTGGGGCCGCTGCCGCCTGGGGCCCTGGGCCCTGGGGGTAGTAGCACGGTGCCACGGCTCCACGGCATGTTGAAAATCAAATGATTCCCACCAAAATTTGCGTGTACCCCCTCTTTAGGAGGCCAATTGAATGTTTGTCCTTTGATTATCAGAATTCAGAAGAAGAATATTTAGAAGAGGGTCGCAAGTCACGAGGCCCACACTTGATTCCGATATCACCGAGTCCGAGTCCGCTACACTTTTCTTCCTGCACTTGCTACATTAAACCCTCACTGTGTGACGGCTTTTCTATTGAAGTTGTGTAAAGATCATGCATGCACGAACACACCTGTCTAGGCTTGAAGATTTTTAAAACTTTAATGCTTCAAATCGATACCCGTTTGAAAACCTGTGTTGGGTGGGGCGCAATCTCTTTTAGCATTGTTGAATACAATTCAATTTGAGTTGATGTGTTTAATTGAATCAAAGGCCGGAGTCAGAACGGACGCCAAAGTGCAGCTAGGAGCGTGGTCCTGGGACACCAATTCGGGGGAGGAATTCCGGGTGGGCGCAGGACTAGCAGAGCCCTATGCTGTCACCTGGTGCGCAGTGGAGTATTTTGAGGCCAGTGGGACTGTCCTGCGCATGCTCCTTCAACACCATTCTCCCGACACTCCGCACTATGGGAGGACCCTCATTCACCACGCTATCCTCTGTGGAAATGCAGGAGCTTTAGATGTGCTCTTGGACTGTGGCGCCGACGTAGAATTCCCTGTAAGAACCCGGAAGACTGAGTTCCATCCAATACACTTGGCCGCACGACTTGGCTTAGCCGAAATACTTCAACGCTTGATTGATGCCGGCTGCAACATCAACTCCAGAACTGAGTCTGGCGATACGGCTTTGATGATTTGCGCAAGATTTAGACAGGAGGAGTGTCTCAGAGTCCTTGCTTCATCTGGTTCTGACTTTGGCCTAATCAACTTGGCTGGTCAGTGTGCAAGTTCAATCGCTGGATCAAACCGATGGACTCTTGGCTTCCAACGAGCATTGCTCGATGTAGTTCGTGCTGGGAAGGTTATCCAATCGAGCAATGCATCCGTATTTTGCCCTTTGTTGTTTGTTGCTGCCACAGGGGACACTGTGGCATTGAATACACTGATCAGATGGCCAGGTATCAACCTTAACCTTCAGGATGAGAATGGATTCACAGCTGTCATGGTTGCCGCCAGGGAGGGCCATGTGGAAGCCTTCCGGGTGCTTGTTTATGCTGGAGCTGACGTAAAGCTGGAAAACAAATCTGGTGATACAGCACTTGTTTTATCCGAGCTTAACCAAAACCACGATCTATTCGAGAAGGTGATGCTTGAATTTGCACTTGAAAAGGGTAATCGTGGGGCTGATGGGTTCTATGCCTTGCATTATGCAGCTCGCTGGGGCGATGTGGATGCAATTCGTTTGTTAACTAGTAGGGGCTACGATGTCAATGTACCTGACGGGGATGGGTACACTCCTCTCATGCTAGCGGCAAGGGAAGGCCATGGATGCATGTGCCAATTGCTGATCTCGTGTGGAGCCCGTTGTGATATCAAGACTGCCAGAGGGGACTCTGCTCTCTCCCTTGCAAGAAGGAACGATGGATATGATGCTGAGCGTGTGATATTAGATGAGCTTGCTCGGAAGCTCGTGCTAAGTGGGGCGCATGTGCAGAAACACACTAAAGGAGGGAAAGGGACTCTTCATGGGAAATTTTTGAAGACAGTGGAAGCCACAGGAATACTTAGGTGGGGAAAATCAGGTAGGAGGAATGTAGTTTGTCAGGAGGTCGAGTTGGGGCCGAGCGTGCTGTTCCGTAAGAATCGCAAATGGAAAGGGGATGTTGATGAACCAGGTATTTTCAGGGTGGTGACAACAAGAAAGAAGGAAGTACATTTTGTGTGTGAAGGTGGGGTTGAAACGGCAAAACTGTGGGTTAGGGGTATTAAGATTGTGACCAGCGCTGCTTCGAGTAAGCATCAGAACCAAGGGTGATGAGTGAGGTTTTGTGGTCTAATGTATGTAAACAAATTTTGAGAAAGTATTTCTATCTTGGAAGTAAATTTTGCAGTTTTTTACTGCCTTGTATTGTAAAAAGGTTTTTTGATCGCCTGTTGCTGTAAAATATTTTCCAAGGAAATGAAAATTGTAATTCAATATGAAAATTGTAATTTCTATTCCTCTCTGCTTTGTAGTTAATACCAATAGTCCTAGCTTTGGAAGTGGCCGCTCTCAAACTTGAAACCGCGTACTCAAGACTGTAATATGCCATCAACCGCGAGCCAACAACGAACGAGGGATGGCAATGCCATCGGAGGGGGGAAAAGTAGACAGAAAAGACAGAAACTGTACGTATTTGGTACGAAGATTATTGATGGTACCTTGGGTCCATAGTCATCACTAGTAGCAGACTAGGCAGCTGGCACCTGACGCGGAATAATAACACGAATCGATAGTACTGTCATCCTCACGGATTAGGACATGGGCAATTCAATTGTGTTTTTGGGGGGTAGGTTGCACTAACAACGAGCCTCATCATCTACTAAGATTCGGTACGAAGGTCCCACCCTGTAAGCTGGAATCTACTCACTATCTGCCGAGTGATGAATTGCTGGTCTGGATAGACTGGATTCTGAAGCCTGGACATAATAAATATTTTTCGGTGAAATACACTAGTCTATTAGTAGCCCTTATAAACCGCATATTGGCCGTGGATTTGACATCGATCCACTGTCTTGATTCATCATCCCAGGTATATGGTAGAGCTAAGAATTTTGAGGTGGGCTGAACCGTCATTCTCCCTACATTTTTTTTCCACTTTCTTTTTTATCAGACTTTCGTAGACTAAAATTATATTCTCCAATGCTGACTGAAGGGGACTGGGTCTAGAAGGTATACCAGGTAAGGGCTAGAGCCTCGATGTCTGTCTCTGAACCATTCCAGATAGAAGCATCCAAGTTTAGCTTGAGATACATTAAACATGGCCCCTCGCAATTGGTCTGTGGTAAAGATGGGCATTGCGTCTGTTCTTAAATCCTATTTAGCTAGCCAGGTGATGAAATTGAGCATCTCTTCGCAGGGTGGGGCAGTTGATGTTAATCAGCTCAAGGGCGTGTGTTGATGAGTTGCATTGCTGGAGGTGATCAACCACGTCACCCATGCCTTGGGTCCGGAATCCGGATCATCTGCAAGCAAAAACTTTGGGGGTTGTTTGGCATCAATGCCATTGCCCCAGAAAATGGTGTCATGTCAGAAAAAAAAAAAGGTTGCCCCAGAAAACCAGATGTTTGGTTCTTTTTTTTCCAGAAAAAGTTTTGCCCAGACCACACCTTGGAAATTGGGAAGGCATGGTTTGAGACAACGTCAAATTTGGTGTTTTCTCATTTTTGGAACCGTTGCTCCCAACGATACAATGATGTGGCACCAATGTGGCATCATCTTGAGCTTTGGATAATGTAGACCAATGTTGAATATGGTTATGCAGTACTGTACCAAAAAAAAACCAGTGCTATTTCCCCAGAAAACATCCTATGGCAGCATCAATGACAAAAAAAAGAGCTGCTTTTTGAGAAAACGGTGCAATAATCCCTCCATACAACACTGTTTTCTTAGAAAATGGTTCTGAAGCTAACAACCTTGATGCCAAACACCTACTCTGTGTATACAACATCTACCCATACATTGAGAATATCTCCTGTACATATATGTTAAATTTAGAGGGAAATGTTCCCAATGTCTTCCTTACTTTTAGAGTATGTGTAGATATTTTGCTTTCAGGAGATCCCATCACAGTCTCCATCCCTCAATCTTTTTGTAACTTGAAAGTCTCTTGTAGGAGTAAGAAAACTAAATTTTGGCAACCATGCTAACTAACTTCCAAACCATGTTGAGAGAATTGAGATAGCATTTCACTAAAGTGGAGCTTATGTGTTTTGCTTTGTCATTTAACTAGGTCGCCAACTTAATGGAGAATCGTGCCCAAGTCCCGGTGAACCAGATCCCACCAAATAGACAATGTCTAGAGCGGTGTTTGGCATCGGTGCTGTTTTCTGAGAAAACGGTGTCATGTAGGCATCACGTCAGAGAGAAGGTGCTGGAAGCAACACCCTCTTGTTTGGTATCATTTTCTCAGAAAAAAAAACCGTTGCTCTAGACCATGCTTGGAAATCGGGAAAGTGTGGTCTGGAGCAACGCCAAATTTGATGATTTCTGGGAAAATGGTGTGTTGCTGCAAACGATGCAATGACATGGCATCAATGTGGCATCATCTTGGACGTTGGATAATAAGATCAATATTGAAAAAGTTGCTACCAGCACTGGTACCAAACAAAACCAGTGCTGTTTTCTCAAAAAATGCCTATGTGGTAGCACCGGTTCTAAACAAAAAATTAGCACCACTTTTCTGTTCCATGCACCGATGCCAAACACCTATTAGTTTTTTCAAAAATATTTGGGAATACCTGGATTTTTTTTTGGTAGCAAAACATTCATTCCAACTAAAACAAATCAAGACAATAAAGCAGGAAACCCAAAGAAACAACACATAAGAACAGAAATACAACTTTCAAATTGGCAGAATTTTGTGGCCGATGCCTTCCAAACAAAGAATGTTACCTACAAGATGAACAAGGGCATCTAAACCAGTCTGGTAGCCATTGTAGAAATCACTCTCAGCCCCCTGTAAATCTGTAATCTCCTTTACTTCACACATATCCTCTGTCAACTTCTCGAACTTAATTGTCATTTCATCAATCTGGGAAGTTGAACAAATTCCAACAAGCTTAGTGACAGAAAATTCTCAAGCTTCTTTGTCATTTCCATTTCATCAAACATTCCAATCTCTTCGTATCATCTTTTGGGATATTCAATCCTGCCTTCCTTACCATAGCCAATGAAGCCTGCCTAACCCAAACAGTAACCTGTTCTAGAATATGGTAAAGCATGGAATAAAAATTATGGTCAATATGTCATACAGCAGTACAGTATTTACATTTCACACTTTCTTATTGCAGCCCAGATGGCAGACATCAAGTGTGTGGGTGGTCACCTAACCATTTAAAAGATATGTTTCCTTTCAGGACTGCCAAATAAACATATAAAAATTTCCATAGAGGAATGTTGGGATCCTAATACAACACAAACCCACTTGGACATGTTCCATTTGGACAACATATGAGATTTGCTCACACTTCACTATAGTATGAAATACCACACCAGAAGCAATGTTCAAAAACATTCACTTGAATAGATGCATCAAGGTGTAAGCCACATTTGTGTTCTAAAGCACTGGACAGAAGTCAAAGGAATAATAGATGCCAGAGTTGTATGGATTTGAAGACCACAACCATCTAATCAGATTCTTCTGATAGACAAAATAGCATTTTACATTCTCAATATTGACCATCTATGAGGATGGGACAGATCATTCCTTCAATGACAGGCAAAATAGCATTTTGTTGACAAAGACTTGAGAAAAAGCTATTGTAAGAATTAACCTTGAAGACAGGGAAACTTAGGAGTTTGGTTGATCTGGGATAACTGCAAACAGCCAATGCTAGGGTATCAAAATTTTGGAACCAAGTGGTTGAAATTGAAATTTTGCCAAAACGATTTCCAATTTTAGTGTTCTTCCCATATATTTTTAGTTCCCTATCCTAAGGAAAAGATTTGAGAAAATCATGGAAGAACTTTTGTGGAAATATGGTGATCAGGACCACCTTATTGGTTGAGGTTCCCTATAGGAGAGTAAGAAGCATGGGGATCGGGATATTGTTAGATGAGGAAAAGAAAATAAAACTTTAGTTAAAAAATAACTTCAGAATTCCTGTGAAGAATAACAGAGCCCTAGAATTTAACTATTAGAGGTATAATATGCATGATAATGGCTGAATTTTTCAAGCTGCTTATAGGGTTTATGTTGTTTGCCCTTGGAAGTACATCAACAAGACTCCCTATTTTGTCCCAATTCTTTAAACATAATGTTGTTTCTATATGTAGGGTTAGATGATTGGAAAACCTGTGGTTGGGAGATTCACCTCCCAGCCGGATGTTCTCCATTTTTTTGCTTCAGAAACTCTTCTATTGCCTCTTCCAACACAAGCATTTCTTTGAATCTTGTCTTCCCCAAGGATCATGGGAACCAGGTTTGCAACAATATTGTCTAGCTTAAGCACTCTTTTCAATGTCTCTTCTGACCCTAATAGCCTAGATTCCTGTGATTGGCTTGTAGATCCAAGGAGTTCCTTCTTATTCATCTTCCTTGTGAACACTGAAGCTAACATTGACAATCTCCCCTTGGAAGAATTTTCTTCTAAGATGGTTTAGAAATCCCCTCCAAATTCAAATACTATGTTTCTCTGTTAATTCCTTTCTCTTAAGTTAATCTGATTTGCCTGTTTTTCCCTACTACTTCCATGGTTGGGTATTTGGTAATAATTCATTCCCACTTTTCCTCAACCTCTCTCTTTCCATTAATAACCCATGCTTGGGTATTAATATTATTGGCCAATGGCTTTAATTTGAGGGTAAGCAATCAAGAGAATAGTATACATGTAACATGGAGGGTTTTATAGAACATGTAAACAGATATCATCCATACATTGAAGAATAAAGTTCTCATAAAATTTAGTATTACTTTTTAAATCTTTACTTTTCATGTAAAGTCCATGTTTAGTGCATTTATTATTATATGCTCAAAACATGCAGGTAGGATATTCATCATTTTGGGCAATCTTCTCTTGAATGGTGCTATGATGTCTTGAAATTATTGAGTAGAAGGATATTCTTCTTGTTGTTATTTGCACTTCAGAAAAACATATTCACAAGTGCAACTTCTCATGCCCTAAGGACAGGTGGCATAAAACTGTGATGTGAATAGCATTAATCGTTACAGCAGATACAGACTCTCTTCTAATTAAGTTTAAGGTCTTTTTGGTTTGATTTTGTCTATTTTGTTATTGAGCTTGAAATTCAGGTGGATTATCTATAAAGTAGTATCCCGGGTTACTCAGCAATTAAGAAAGCCTCAATGAGGATTTAGAATGTATATCTATTTTTTTTTGCTTCAATGAACCATTGCTTAGTGTAATGGTAAAATTGTGGGTTGACAAGTGTGAGAACACAAATTCAAGTTAGTCTGAGAGTGACATAAAATCTCCTTCTTCCATTGGCTAAAAATGAAAAAAAAATGTTCCTATCTCCCTCTTCCAACGATTTGCATCTAGACATCTGCCTCCAGCTGATCTCTTCCCTTCTTGTAATAAGCTTTAGTTCTGCTTTTAATTGCATTCTTTCTTTTGAAACCCTTCCACCACTTCCCTGTCAATTTAATCAATTTCTCCCAAGATGGTGATCTTTTTTTATCATTCGTTCTCCCAAAAGTTTCCTCATTCCATCCTTTCAATTTTCCTTTGATTTTTCTTAGTTTTTTGCATGAATTTAAATCCCTCCCAACCTTCCATGTGACATTCCCCTCCTCCCCCACCAAGATGCAATATTAGATTTAAAAGTTGGGTGAGTTATCTACATATTTTCAAACTTAGGGGGACAAGGCTCAAAGTTAGCTTCTCTAATTGCAGAATTATAGGCCAATGATCCATAATTGGTATACCAGACATGTTATGTGGACTGGTTTCAGCCCCAAAAAGGTCAAACCTTGCTGGGTTATTAGGTGTGTAAACTTCAAATCTTTAATCAACCCAAGATAGGAGAAGTCGAATTTTCATGGAAAAACAAATTTTCTCCTATGACCGATTTAGGATAATCAATCAAATTTGATATCCAGAAAATAAATAAATAAATAATAAATAGGGAATGCTACTTGATCCAGATATCACAATTGCAAGAAGTCGATATTTTGTGTGCAAAAACTGATGGTGCGCAATCCGGCTGGTCCTAGTTGTCAACGACCTTGCCTCTGAAGATGAGGAAGCTCCGGGGGGAACCCGGTATGAATGCTCCGAAGCTCAAGTTAGAATTCTTTCTTAGGCAAGATAAAACCAGATGGCGCAAAGTTCACATACCTTGTTCTTGGGGGGTAGGGAGCCTTTTATAACCACCTCGTGCACTCACTCCTAAGCTTCTGTCARGTCGGGTATGATTACCTCTGGGCTCCTGCCAGTTCAGGTGTCATCCCCTCTGCTAGACAGAACCGCTACTGTTCCCTTTGTCGGAGCCGTCTCTGCGACTGGCGGTGACGGTGGCAGGTGGTGGTGGCAGGTGACCGTTGAAGTGCGGCTGTCAAGCATCAGATCCCAAGTCAGTTAGGTGCGCCGCCCTTGGATACGGACCTCCTCGGTGTCAGGTATGGTACGTTCATTCAGTTCGGCGTCCCGGAGGCGAAGTGCTGGAGTGGCGAGCGAGGTGAAATCTTGAGTTCGGATAGGGGAGTGTCCCGAACTGCTATGAGGCGGGCCAGTTCGGGTCATTGCCTTGTGTGGCTCGGGCCTAAGGGAGAGTTCGGGCTCCTCGTAGGGAGTTCGGGCTCCTAGTAGGGAGTTGGAGTTCGGGCTCCTAGTAGGGAGTTCGGGTTCCTCATAGGGAGTTTGAACTGCTGGTTTCCTCCCTTTGGTGCTCGCGCCCTGGGCGCGCTGTTGTGCCGAGCTGTTTGCCTTTGCCACGTGGAGTGATTATGAGGTCGAGCCAAATCTTCCTTCATCAAAAACTAAGCCGAAATTGAGTTGCAAGTTGAAGATGGCGCAACCCCAATTGCAAGAAGTCGATATTTTGTGTGCATCGATGTGCACTCTTAATCTCCTATTGAATGCAGCTATTAATCACTTGAGATCTCCATGTTTTTCCTGGAAAACTCAGTGATGAAAGAGAGAAAAGCATGTTTTCAAAACGGACCGAACGGTTGGACTGCCTGACTGGTTCCATTTTTCCCCAAAACTGTTGATTTTGGTCAGCAAACTGCTGAACCGACCAGTTAACCATTCGAACCGTTCGAACGGTTTTAACTGTTTTTCATTTTTTTTAATTTTTTTTTTATTTTTTGTCAGAACAGACCGATCATTCAGGTCAAACGACCAGACTATTAAAACCAGTAACTGGATCACTAACCAGTTCGGTCTCCGGTTCGGTTTTAAAAACCATGGAGAAAAGGTTCTCCTTTCAGCCTTGGTTGAACTAGAGTTTGGAGGAAGTTTGGTGATAATCTCTCTCACAATTCTCCTATTCTCTATCATATATGGAGCTGGACTCTTGGAGTCCTACAAGGATTATCCAAATAAGATTTCTAACTTAATTAGAAGTTTCTAATTTTTACAATTTTACTATTATAATTAATCTATGTGTGGCTAACTTAAAAAACATATTTTTCCAATATAATAAAATGTTGGATTTCTAAACTCTTCACTTTGTGAGAGATCTCAAGTATGGAGGATTCCTACATTACCTATATAATCTGTTTTTGCCACATGGTAGACGCAAACCATCCACTGAGTAGAGAGAGAGGTAATTTTAAAAAACTTTGGTAATTTACAATAATTATTAATAAATAATCATTAAAAGAAATAGAAGAAAAATAACAATAATCTGCTAATTTATGGTATTTTTAAAAAATTACTGTTAACTATTGGAAATTTACAATAAATAATAATAATTCTAATGTGCTTTTAAATAAATAGAAATGAAATAGCAATAATTTCCTAAAAATAATTCATATTAAATCTCAAATTTATAATTTTCATTCTCAAAATTCTCAAAATTTAATTTTACTATTATCAATGATTATTGCTAATTAACAAATAATTACTTTTAATTTATTATACTGGTAATAAATGATATATTGATAATTTCTGGTAAAATTCAAAAATTAATGTTTAATTTATTGTAATTTATAGTAATTATTAATAATTTAATATTAAATTAAGAGGAGAAAATAGCAATAATTTCATGATAATTTTTGGTATTTTTTCAATATACAATGATAATTTACTGTTAATTAAGTAAAAGAAAAAGAATTAATTCATTGATAATTTCTCATAAATTTTAAAGTTACTATAATTAGTTATAATTTAACATTAATTAAGTAGAAGAAGAAAAACATTTTTCCTTGTAATAATTAACTTGAAATCTCGAAATTAAATTTTACATTTCTTAATAATTAATGTCACTAAGCATAATATTAACATTTTTTTTCCAAATTTTACTATTATTATATTTATTAATAATTACTGTTATTAAACAAAGTTTCAAAAATAAATTTTAATAAAAAAAATAGTTAAAAGCCTAATGATTGGGGACATGATTAGGTGTTGTGTTGATGATCGACTGCACTCTCTTTGCCTTTCACATCTTAAAATGTGGGTTCCAGAGAGACGATTGCTATATTGTCCCCACTATTATTGCTTAGTAGACTAGACTAGGCAGACAGGAAATCCAAGCGATATATATAGATAGACAATTCTATAAATACAAATTTTCAAATCCCGAAATCTCTAAACATATGTTCAGAATTCAGATGTGCAGAAGTGAGGTAGGCTGACAAGAATACCCTCCCTCATCGTGTACTCACTCTAGTAGCTATATATATATATATATATCATCAAAGTAAGGGTTTATTAATGTCTTTTCGCAAAATGTATATGGTATCTATTTTCAGAAAAAAGGAAGAAATACTGAAATAGGAAGGGCTGAAGCTTTCGAAGGTCCGTCCGTGGTTTACTGCTCATCCGTCTTCGTTTGTCTGAAGGTCTGAGTTCTGAAGAAATAATGGGGAGCTCCTCCACAGTGGATTTGTCGGATATCCCGTCAGTGGATCTGATGACGGAGCTCCTCCGCCGCATTAAATGTGCTGACAAACCCGACAAACGCCTCATTCTCGTCGGTAATCCCCCCGCCCCCCCCGGGCGCGCTTTTTTTTTTTTTTTTTTCCAATTGCTTCTCAGCCTTTTCCTTTTTCATCCTGAAGAAATTTTGTTTAAATCTAAGGTTTATCTGTAGATTCAATGTGAAGATTTCATTGCGGATGCTTGCTTCTTTAATGAACTTAGGGTTTTGACGTCGAGGATTCATGATATTTATTTACTTTTGTTCTTGGTTATGACCTTCTATGTCTTTTTTGGAGAAAGTTTTTTTTTTTTTTTGGGTAGAAATTTTCGAAGCAAGTTATGACTTTCTACGTTAAGTGTTTTTATTTGTTGTAGAGTTTGGATCTGCCTTTTTAGTTCTACTTCTATGATTATCAATCTTCTTTAACATCTCTTTGAGCTTGGATATTCCCAAGCTCCTGATGATTTGTCTTATTAATGGTTTTTGGTTCTAATATTCTGTTTCTTATCTACCCGTAATATTTTACTGGTTCTTTGACCATGAAGTTATTTTTCTTCCTCTGCAACTATGCCTGTAGCCCTACTGGGACTTAATTGATTGCATGCCGGATTTCAACCGTTGTTGCCCTTAACAGATAGTGCCTCAGTCCTTGGTTAACAGCCGAAGCTTGCGTTTGGAGTCACCCAAACGGACGAAACAGGATCGAAAATCGGAATTTCTATGTTTTGAATGTGTGCTAGCTGCATTTTGTATTCTGGCTTGGTACCAAATTGTACTTCTGTATGAGCTCGACCTATAAAATGGCATCGCATATAGTTAGTTTAAACATTTGAAAAAGGCCCTTGGGTATTGTGGCTTTGGTTTTCATTCAAATAAAAAAGGGTTGTGGCAGCATCCTTCTTAGGTTGACATTAGGCTGTTCTCCTAAGAGAAAAATCATTTGATTTACAGTCTGAACCTTCAAGTTTGGTGCTATGTATTGAGGCTTTACATTCATGAAGTAGCTTCAATTGACTGAAAGTCCTTGTAGTATTAGTTCCCTTAAGTGAAAAGGAAGTTCCAATCTACTGGTTTTAACCTTTAAAGGACAAACTAATCTGTCCAAGGAGGATCCACTGTGATGGTGTGACCCAATAAAATATTAACATAAATACATAATGCAAAAGGTGAACCTTTACAACTTTTCGCCAATGATTGTTGTGTCTCTTTGTATTTATAAGGATTAGATGGTTGGCAGGTCCTCCTGGGTCTGGAAAAGGAACCCAGTCTCCCATCATTAAGGATGAGTACTGCTTGTGCCACTTGGCTACTGGTGATATGTTAAGAGCTGCTGTTGCTGCGAAAACCCCCCTTGGTGTTAAGGCTAAAGAGGCTATGGATAAGGTAGAATGCTTTCCAGAATTCTATCATGCGTTCTGTTGTGGGAGTGGTTGTTGCAACTTGTTTAATGACCATTTCTTTGGTTGGATATGTAACTTCTTCTCAGGGTGAACTTGTTTCTGATGACTTGGTTGTTGGCATAATTGATGAAGCAATCAAGAAGCCTTCATGTAAAAAAGGTTTCATTCTTGATGGGTTCCCAAGGACTGTGGTGCAAGCAGAAAAGGTCTCTGCCTTTTTGTACTTTTCTTCTCCCCTCCTTCTGGATGATTTGCATGGTTCTAGTATTTTGTAGGTCTTAGTTTTCTATTTATGAGATTCTCCTCATGTTCTTTGTGTGCCTCTTGATGCAGCTTGATGAGATGCTCGAGAAACAGGGGACTAAAATTGATAAGGTACTCGATTTTGCAATCGATGATGCGATCCTGGAGGAGAGAATCACTGGTCGTTGGATCCACTCTTCCAGTGGTCGGACCTACCACACAAAATTTGCCCCTCCCAAAGTTCCTGGTGTTGATGATGTGAGATGATGCAAATGTTTTTCCTTTTCTTTTTGTTTCTTTTATTAACTTGTAAAGAGAAAATTTTAATGATAACTGGTAACTAATATAGTAATGTCAAGTGGCATATATAAAATTCCGATAAAATGCATCCCATGCAGAATGAGTCACTTGGGTTGCTGTATATGACCTTATATAAGTCACTTCTTTCCTTTGTTTTTGGAATGATTTGCTTCAACTTAGAAAAGTAAGAAATAAGATTACCATAAGACGATGGACTTGCTCTGGCATTTGAATCAGTTGTTTTTGTCACATTTGAAAGGTGTAGATGGAGTTATTTCTATCCATGGGAAGATCAAATGTTGACTAGATAGCAGTTTGGTCTTCATATTTAATAGCCAAAAAGTTGAATGGATATTTAATCTGCATTGTATATTTTCATTTTATATTCAAATATGTTATAACAAACTTATTAGTTGTGATGCATCTGATGTTGTGGATATACCCTTGCTTTTTCTTATCTCTGAAGGTTACTGGGGAGCCTTTGATTCAGCGAAAAGATGATACTGCAGCAGTTCTCAAGTCAAGGCTTGAGGCATTCCATAGACAAACTGAACCAGTATGATTTGCTTGTTTCCTTTCTCTATTGAAATTTATATATGCCTGTCAAATAATCTAGTTATTAGAAAGAAGTTCTATGTATGAAGTGAAAAAAATATAAAGAAAAAACTTCTTAGCAGTTTGTTTCCATAACCCACCATAGGGTAATTGTTCAATTCTAGAACTTGCTGAGTACTGGATCTAATCTAGCTTATGTACAGGAGGTTGAGATGGAGTATTGACTTTGAAAGGTTTTTCTTGTTTAATATCTATCATTATTTGGGATCTGTCTATTGTTATCTCCTCCTGTTAAATAAACTCATGCATGTGATGCTTGAAAAATTGAAGGTGTATGTTTCTTATGAAATGATAACACAATGAGTTTGTCCTAATGTAACCTAAATTGTTTTCGGTGTGCATAGGTTAGCTCCAGTACTCATAGTCCCCTAAATTATTTTTACTGTGGATAGGTTATAAGTAATTAGTTAGTACAAAACTCTAATGTAACCTTTTCTGTCTAGCAGTAGCAGTTTCACCATCCATATATGGAACTATGCTAGCCATCCTGAAATTTTGTATTGAAGTTCTATTCATGCTGCATGAATGTGGCACTTCTTTTCAAAGATAAGAAGTTTAAAGGACTGATTTTGTGCCAATAAGCTTCTCATCTTATCATGGGCGAACACTTTTCTACTTGGCATGCATGGGGAAGTAAACTAAGTCATAGCTATGTGTGCTTGGTTTCTGTATCTTGTATGTGTGTGCAACGTGTTTGTTTTGTACATGAATGCTGTGAGGGTTTGGAATCCTTTAAACCTTTATTGCTACTCACTAGTCCCTAGTAATTTTGGTCTGTGCTTGCTATGTAATGATGGATGCTATAACTTTGTAAGCAGTTGTCTTGTGCAGGGCCTTCCATCACTATGGCTAGGCAAGGTGGGACCTTGTCTGATAAGAGGTTTTGCTAGTGTGTATCTCCATGATGTAGAGGGCCTGAAATTAATGTCACTTGATTGTTGGATATTTTGTCCTTTGTTCTCGTTCTAATGTATATTGTGCTCCTCTTGTTATTTATTCATATTGTGAAGTATCTTAGCTAGTTTCCTATAATATTTGAACTGCCAGGTTATTGATTACTATGCCAAGAAGGGCGTTGTTGCACATCTTCATGCGGAGAAACCACCAAAGGAAGTTACCACTGAGGTTCAGAAGGTGCTTTCTTCATAGGAGTGAGCTACTTAGTTTGAAGCTTTTTGAAACTTTTGTGAGTTCTTACTCGTTTATAATCGGATAAGATGTTGTCCATCTTTTTTTTCATCTCCTTTCATGTTTAAATTTAACAAGCATCGGCTGGTTGTATGAGCTGCTGAGGTGTTACAGAATTTATATTCCCGAATAAAAAAAAAATAACAGTTTTTGAGTAAAATATGGAATTCCAATATTGTTGCCTTTTAGGACCCGTGTTCTTGTGTTGTGGGATTGGAGGAAAATATCCATCTGATCATGAATGGTGATCAATAAGATGAATGACTGGTCTTTATTTCCCATATGATATCAGAGGATCACTTATCATGGAGTTGCTCCATTCATCCAATTCTCGCCTTGAGTTTTGCTCTGTAGAGCCTCTTTTCCCATCTCTATGTTGCAGGTTGTATGGGGAACATTTTCCATGTGTATTCTGCTCTATAGCTGGATCAGGCAGGATGAGATGAGCTAGTCAGCGAGACTACGGCGTATAGAGCAAACATGATTATAGCAACCTGACCAGGCTGGATGAGGAACCAAGGCACTTTAATTCGGAGAGATCACATTCGGGCTCAACACAGTGAAGTCTCTCAAGTCATTCCTTCAATTTTGCCTAGAACTGAGTCCAATGTTTTATTTGTGAATGTTAATTCCTGCCAGAATCCATAAACTTGAGTTTAATCTATACCTGCTACATGGAACATGGATCTAATGTTGATGAGGAAATGAGAATGTGAATCCATGGATAAACCATGAAACATGAATTCATAGAACTTTGAAGAGTAATTGACCTCTTTGAAAAAAAAAGAAAAGCAAAAAAAAAAAAAAATCGATTGGATATTTTGTCCTTGGAAGTCATTGAATTTTTCATTTAGGGTCTGTTTGTTTTTTGGATTTTGAGGGGAGAAAGTTGGTCAATGGGATTTTGTTTTCCATTGATCAAAGATACCCATATAATTTTTTTTAAGATTTATGTGGGATTCATAGAAAATTTATTTTTCTTCATGGGTAAATAATTTCCCCATATTGGATGTGATAAAATTGTCCCATTTTAGTAATAACTTTTTATAACTAAAACGGTCAATGTCTTAGGTAAGTAACTTCAAAATAAGGTATATGCTATTAAATGCTTTGAGAACATAGGTTTTGGTTCAGGTGTGTGTGATTTTTCGTCTACGGACCAAGCAGATGCTATGATCCCACATTGAAGGGTGGTTCATCATCATACGGTGGTGTCTGGGAGTGCTTAACGTGATGGCCTAAAAATTATCCATGAGCAATGCTGCTGCCACTTTTGGATTGTAAATGGACAAGCACAATATAAAAAGCGGACAAATCTGGGGGGTTTGGAAATTGGGACATGTTAGTCATTTTGGTACAAAAGTATTATTTGAGGGCATTATTGTCATTTAAAAGGAAATCCTAGCGTTTTAAAATGCATAAAACAGCTTTTGGTTATTCACCAAAATAGTTTAAAATTAGGGATAATTATTTATAATATATCTTATGTATTTATGAAATTACTTATATATGCCCTGAACTTAAAAAAAAAGAGGGGTTTTTATATATGTCTTGTCCGGTTTCACATAAATAAGCATGACCTCCATTCACATCGTTGATAACCTCATTGCTCCCCGATCATTTTAAACTAGCAAGTAATGGAATAGAGAGAATAAATCCACTAAGAAAAATAAATTAAGAAACAAACCAAGAGTGGTGTGGTTGCAAGCAAAGTTCAAAATATGGATATGCCCAATATAATGGTATTGGACATATCAGGCAAATCGATACCGCTTTTGGTGGTTTTTATTTTTTTATTTTTTTCATCAACTGATTCAGGGGAGTCGGTTTAGGTCTTTGCTATACCCTAAATCGGTCAAACCACCGATACATTCATTATAGGGGCGTATCAGTAGGGTGCCAGAATGATACATATTAGTCGATATGGGTCAATACGTATGGATACTTTAAACTTTGATTGCAACCAATGATAGCCCCAAGTAAAGGGCATGCTGGCTCAATGTTGATTGACTGGTTGTGTGATTCTGTGGGGATACAATTCCGGGCACGGCCTAATTTAGTGCTGGTCAGAGTCCGTGATAGTGGTCTGTTTTCTTGGTTATGTTGGAATGAAGAATTTGCCAACAAGGAATAGGGGTCCCAATACCCTAATAAAGGTAATTAGTTTAGTTGTCAACTAAACAAGCTTTTGGCCCAAAGATGACGTAATCACTTGAGGAAAGAGCGAAGCCATGTGGCAGATTTTTTGGGTATCTTTTGAGATTGTGAAGGTAATCCACGTAGTTGAGGTCAAATCGGACAGAGTAGCCTGATCCCATTTCCATGCAGTCTAGCAGCGTCCAGTGTATATATCCTTTCACCTTCACTCCCTTCCTGTTCGCACCAAATGTCACAAACAAACAAATAACGCAGTAGAGAGACAGAGAGAGATTATAAACTAGTGATCATCCAAACAAGCTCTCTCTCTCTCTCATCATATATATGTATAATTTACAAAAACAACTTTAACTAACCATTCTCAGTAATATAGATGTTTGGGTTGTTGAAGGCCTTCAAATGAATGACCAAGTCTCTCAATCCCATATGGTAAGTGTAAATCATATCGCTTCAAGGGATCTGCATCAAGGTAATCATCACTTTTCAAACAGTTTCTTAGGCTCAGTTTGGAAAGAGGATAAATATAAATATATACAATACAAATGCATGCAAAATACAAAGTTTTGCAGTCTACTTATTTGTATTTGTATTCTTTTCAAATTGAGCCTTAACACTGTGTTCGGAAACGATGTAAATGGAGTATAAATTCCAGTTCAAGGTAAATTTGCACTCTGCTTCACTTTAGCCTGTGTTTGGCAATATTACATTTATGCATTAATAAATGACATAAAACATATTTTCCAATGCATATTTACATTGGTAATAAGATGTAAAAGTACATCAATTAAAAATAAGTAAATTTGCATTCAAGTGAGCTTTTGATTAAAAAAAAAGGCATATGCTTTATTAGAATTCATGTTTGCATCCATTACAGCTGAAAGTCTGTTTGGTAAGAAGGTAAATTTGTCGGTGCAAAACTAACCCAACTTTGCAATTTATATGAACCGTTTTACACTCTACATATTTGCATTCATACTTATTTGCATCGTTTCCAAGCGCAGCCTTAGGATAAAAACAAAACCAAAACCATTTTCATTGCTGTAATTTTATATGATATATAGCTTTATTTATCTAGTAAAGATCCCGGAAGCGGTGAAGCCCCATTTTGTAATGAAATATCCATCATTGTCTTCTGGCAGTCACACATACACCTTTATTCCCATAGGTTTCCCATTTCTGTCCATTGCAAAATAGTAGAATAATAGTGATTCAGATGGTGTTTGGAAGCATAGGCACTTTTTGGGACCGATTTTCAAGAAAAAACGCCCATACTTCTAAGACTTGTTTTTCACAAAAAAAAACATTTCTACCACGTAAGCAGTGAGCAACACTATGCTGTTTGGTAAGGTGATTTTCATCACTGCTTTTCATGTATGTGCTGACAGGTAAGCACCACATAGGATATACATCAGTCAACCGTTGGGGGAAATGGTTCACCGATGCATGAATTGACAAATTTGGTGTTTCATGCATCGATGGGGTATCGATTTACGAGGCATGCCCGATTTTTCAATAAACGCCTGAACCAAACATTCATATATATGGGCATTTGTTGAAATGCCTATGTGGATCCGACATGGCACCATTATTTTGAAAAATAGCACGGTTACAAACATCCCCTCAGTTGGGGAGGATAACCCCAAACCATCCAAATAGAATTTCGGATCTCCTACCCATAAGAATTCTATCCACACCTATATCCGCAAGACACCACAGTTGTACATGAGAAACATCTCCCCATGAATGATTACATGCAAATATGGAATATGTATATTAGCATGTTGGAATTGATGGACTTTACCTAGGTGATGGGTATTGGTCTGAGCGGTGCAAGGCAGGAGATTTCGGTCGACAACAGACCGATATTATTGGGGTGCTCACAATTTGGTTAACAGAACTGGGCCTATTTTGAAATGAAAGTGATATTATCGGTTTTTAAAAAACCAGTAACCAAAATCGAATTGAAGATGATTGGTAAACCGTCGGTTTGGTTTGTCGATTTTTTTTTATTTTTTATATTTATAGTATATATTGTAAAAAATATATAAATATATATAATAAAAACTAAAAATATATATAAAATATTATATTTTAAATAATAAATAGTATATTATATATTCTAAATATATATTTATATATTGCATATTTATTAATTTATAATATATATATATATATATATACCGATTGGTTTGGTTAACTGTCTGATTAACCAAAACCAAACTGCTACCTTCGCTTTTTTTTTTTTAAATATTGAACCAAAACTAAACTGACATACGTATGATTTGTGTTGATTGGAATGCTTTTAGCAAACCTAGAAGTATAGTAGTTGACACCAATGAAATCTTAGGACCCTTGAACCATTCCCTGTTCCTCTAGGCTGAAGGTGGGAAGACCGTCCCTTACCATTCGGTTCTGGTTTGGTGCTTCCAATTTTGTATACATACATACCAAAAATCTGTGGCTCGTTGATTGTAATCCAGTGTTTGACTCTATCTCCGAAACTTTTGAAACAGATATCAGCGTAGTTTCTGAAATCATCCCTACAATCAGAAAGAACAAGAAGAAACGCAGACACAGCTAAGAGATCTTCTGAGTTCTGACCCATTAATTAATCTCGCTTGACGACTACTAGGATGAATAACAAAACAGAAGGCCTACACAATCCTGCGGTCCAAGAAGCCAAAATACTCCTGTAAAGCAGTTGGTAAGTCAAAGTGGAACAATGTCACAAAGGGTTGTATTCCTGCAGATCGAGCAGATTCATTTTTGTTTTCGCATTAATAGCAGGAATTATTCTCTCTAAACCCAGAAAAGTTAAACTGAAAAAAGACACCAATCATCAACAAAACAAATTAAATTTCGGAGTACTTCATTTATAAATTAGTTGTAAAAAAAATCAATACCCTTTTGGTTTATGCCACCACTCAAGCTTCTATCTGCGAGTTTTTTGAATAATAAGTAGATGATAAAATCAAATACAGAGATGATTTTTACACTACTTTGTTTTCATTAATGGAGAGATTCTGGGCCACGTAATGGAGAATCTGTAGAAATCAATACCCATATTCTTCAACAACTGAACATCTTCCCGTAAATGAAGTAATAAGAGATCGACAGTTGTTTTAACTCGATCATCAGATGATTTATATCGGTGATAGGAATCGACTGCAATTCTCCTCTGCCCAGCCCCATCTTGAATGAAAGAGTCCAATGTGCTCGGTCCTATATAAAGCATATGACCCAACCCATGAGAGAAAGAGAGAGAGAGAGAGAATAAAGTTTTTCCTTGAGTAGAAGCTCCGAACTTGAAATCAGGAGGGAATAAAGTCTTTCCTTGTGACAACATTTGATGGTGAAATTGGTTTACTTTGGCTTCCCCCTTTGGAATCTGTTATACATGCCAGTACAAGTATTAAGACCAGAGTTCTTGGGAGACGGATCCTGATCTGTGCTGCAGGAACATGGTTTCTTACTTAATTATTGCTTGAGAGACAGAGATGATAAGAACTGTAACAAGAAGATCAAGAGGGTTAATTAAGTGAGAGAGAGACAGAGAGGCTTAATTAGAAGGATCTTTATTTTCATTTTTCTGAAAATATTTGTCACCGCCCAAAGAGGAGAAAGAAGAAGCAGTTGCAAACCTTGAAGGAATTCAGCATATTGTTTTTGACTGTCTTATTGTCTTGAAGTTATTACAAGTAAAATATTTGACAATTCTTTTGTCTTTATTAGTTTGTTAAGTGTTTGTGTTTCGTCTTTATTGATTTGAATTAATTGCATCTGATTTTGCCTTTTTTTTTTTCTTTCATTTGATAATGATTAACAAATTTTAAGATGACTGCCCTTCACCTAGAATAAAGTTTGAAAAAAAAAAAAAAAGCGAGGATGAGTGTTTAACCATTTCTCAATATTACACCGGCAAATTAGGTTGGAGTTTTCAAACTTCTCTCCCTAGGCATTAGACCTCGCAATTGGGTTGGGTGGGTCGTCGGGTTGGGTCAAAACACTTCGGGTTGAATTTGGATCGGGTTAGCAAATTCTAGACCCCAACCTTAAATGTTCGGGTCATGTTTGATCCATAGGTCAATTCAGATCATCCCTAAAAATATTTGGAATTTTAAAAGATAAAAAATATATGAAAAATGTCAAAATTAAAAGAATTAATCTTAAAAATTGCAAATATAAAATAAAAAACTTGAACATTCAACAATTCAAAAACTAAACAATAAAGAGTAAAGACTAAACAATAAATATTAAAGAGTGGAAACTTCTAATAATGCATAAATAGTCCCAATTAGACCTGACAATTGGGTCATCAAGTTGACCCATGACCCAACCCAATTGTCATGTCTAGTTCGGATCATCTATCAATACACAATTCCAACAACGTCCAAACCGGCCATTGCATTTGTACATTGTATTGGTAGCAGATCCTTAAGGCTATGTTTGGTTTGAAGGAAAAAGTAGGGAAAGGAAAGGAAAGGAAGGAAAACCTTTATAAATTTTGTATAAATTTTCCTGCATTTCTCTTCCTTTCCCTACATTTGCCTTCAAACTAAACATAGCCTAAAGGATCATAAAGCTGCCCTGTGTTCATGAGAGAGGTTATGTCCATGGGAGGGGATGCCCATTAAGATGGCCTTTGGCACTACAATGTTTTATGTTACGATTAGGGGTGGCCACGAGCCAAGTTCTTCACGAGCTACTCGAGCTTGGCTCGTGAAAAACTCGGCTCGGCTTGATTCAACCAAGCTTTGAGCTGAGCTCGAGCCCAATTTACAGGCTCGATTAGTAAGCGAGTCGAGCTCGAGCCCAATAGAGTTCGGCTCACGAGTCGAGCTTATATATATATAGTATAATATAATAAAATTATAGAAAATTAATATATATAATAAAAATATTATAATTCTTAATTTTTTAAATATCAAATAAAAAATATTTTTTTATATATAATTTTTTATTTTTATAAACTTTTTTTTTCTCAAATCAAGCTCGAGCTTATGAGTTTTTGATTCGAGCTGAGCTCGAATTCAAGGTTCTAGCTCAAACCAAGCTCGAGCTCGAATCTTGTACTTCCTAGGCAAGCCGAGCTCGAGTCTCATACTATTTGGCTTGACTCGAATCCACCCCTAATTACGATGTTTTGATTTGAATCATGACATTCGAGAAAGTGAGATGTTTTGGTACAAAACACACCCCGTGATAATTTATATACTTTCAAATACATTATATTACCATTACACAAGTTGAAGTTCTCATAAAGGCATAATGCTGCCTTGTGAGACTAAAATGACATTTAGTATGAGTTTAGATCTGCTATCCACAAGACAATGATCCCGATGTATGATTATACCTAATTTGTTGTGGGTAATATGAATAGCCTTCTTGTGCTTGTGAGTAACAACAGATTTAGAGTCATACAGTACTATGGTGTTTTTAAGTTACGGTACAGTACATTAGACACCAGATAACACAATTAAACTGGAGATATTTTCTAAACAATCAATATAAAATGTGATATTTACTACAGGGGTGTTGGTTAATATTTATGATTTTGGTTAAGCTCAGTTTGGAACGAGTACAAATGCAAATGTATATAAAATAATACAAAATACAAGGTTTTACACTCTACAAATTGTATTTGTACTCCGTTCAAATTGAGCCTTATGGAATTACTGCACCACTCAAAGTAAACATTCTTTTAAGTGTAACATGTCCTAAAATTGAGTTGAAATCAGCCCCTCACAAGATAGTTTCCCACAACACATTTCCGTCGTGTATTGGGAACATCTCCCAATGATGCCTCATCATTTCTGATATTATCATCAGGAGATGTTTCTAATACACGGCAGGGATGTGCTGTGGGATGTTGTAGGAAACTATCTTGTGAGGGACTGATTTGAACTCTCTAAAATTGACCAAATTTTTGATTTTATAATGTAAAATGTAACATATTTTAGAGTACATCAGCAAACCGTTGATCCTTTCAACGATTTTTGGTCATTTTATTTTTAATTTTTTTGTCAGAATAGGCCATCTATTCAAACCAGATAGTCAAATCATCGACCCAGAAACCGGTGACAAGAACTGGATCGTTTTTTAAAATCTTGGTTGTGAGTCTCGTATATTTTATTATAATTCGTTCCACGGCCCATTAAATAGCTATTGGATTCCGCTGGTATTTTCTCGAAGGAGATGGGGATGGGGTACTTCAGTTGTGTAGAACGCTCGGTTCGGTTCGTTTTCACCCCGTTAGCACTATACAGACCAGAGAGCCAGTGGAGTCATTTGCAATAACTTTAACCACTAGGGTAGGGGTAGGGCACTACCCTAGATGTTCGTGGAACCGAAGCAGTTAGAAGTTAGAACAATTTGGGTGCCCAACCCATGTTCGACTATTTACCAAGCGAGGCCAGTTTCTGCCCAAGCCCACATTGAGCCCGGTCCTGGTGGCCGATGGGACGAGCGAATAACGGAGTAAGGTGCGAAACTCCGAAGGTATAAGATAGTCTCACTCGGTCGGTAATCTCTCTCTTAGCTCCTAGTTCCTACTCCGGAGTTCCTGACTTGCGGCAAACGAAGAAGGGAAATAACTTGCTATTCTTTGTAAAATCTCTTCAGCTCGGCATTCGTCAGTGATTATAGTTTATTCATCAAGTCGTTCGGTTAACCTAATCTAACATGGAATCCATCGAAGCTTTGATCGCTCACATACAAGGGCTTTCGGCTAGCGTGGAGGATATTTCTCATCTTCACAATCTCTTGAAATTGGCCGAGGAATCTCTCCAATCTGTGGCGCCTCGATTATCTTCCTTCTTGGGGCAGCTTGACCCCGCTAAACATTCTCTCGGCTATCTTTATATCCTGTACGTTGCTTTCCTTCCAAGCTCTCTCGCTCTTGTACTTCCTGCTACTTGATGTTTTTCTTTTCTCCTTTTTTCAATTATGTGTTTTTATGCGTTTTGCCTGGTTCTTCGTGATATTCGTTTGCTTCTAGTCTTACTGGAAGTGGGTTTTGATGCATTGACATTTTGACAAACTAATCGGGTTAATTATGAAATGGGTTTTGTTCCTTTGATAGTGTAAACAAGTGCATGGAGCACATTATAGGCCTTCTTTTGTTGAATTCTAAACGAACGAACCTTTGTTTCCGTTCAGTTGGATACGGATTCGTTACGTTGCTGAATTTTGTGTTCTGACCCTTTTTTTTCTAAGTATTTGAGTCGATTTTGGGTTGACTCGTTTTAGTAAGCATTAGTCATGTCGTTTTAGGGTTAGAGTACCTTAAAGAGCATGTTGTTATGTCCTGGATGCTATGGAATTACAATTCAGTCATATAAGGAGATAAGTATTCTATGAAGAAGAAGTGATACCAATTGCTAGGATACTGAATTTGATGCATGTAATACGGTACAAAGTAATCTACTGTTATCATTGGTAGACCTGCTATAGCTGGATCTTTAGCCTAAATATAAAGAATCATTTGCGGTTGTAAATGATATTGTTTCAGTTTAATTCTTAATTTCCTGCATAAGAAATTGGCTTTGTTCAGTTCTCAGCTTTATTCATTTTCCTGACATTCTTTCCTAGTAATATGTAACAATAAATATGTCTTTGGAAAGAAAAGGAAAATTGAACAAAATCATTGGATATAAATGAAACTATGTATATGGTCTACTCTGTTTTCTGGTTATTTGATCGAACTATATGCTTTTCTGGTGTTTGTGGTTGACAGGGAGGCATACACTTCTGCTCCAATAGCAAGAGAGCATCCTAGTGAATTCCTTGTGTCCATCTCTACCTTTATCAGTTCTTGCTTAGCAGAGCAGATACGTTTGGCACCTGATAAATGTATTGAACTGTTCACAACAAAATAAATCTGTTCACCACAGTCAGATTGCCTAAATGTTCTACATTGGCCTAAGAATTGGCTTCTTGTAATTGCAGTTGTATCTGTTTGCAAGAGGTTCAAGGATCAAGTTCTGCTGCTTCAAGAACCGTTACGAGGCATAGCTCCCATGCGTACAGCTGTACAAAAGCTTCAGTCTTCTCCTGAACATTTAACTGCTTTGCATCCAGATTTTCTCCTTCTTTGTTTATTGGAAAAGAGCTATAAAACCGGTTTAGGTATTTTGAAGGAGGATATCTTTGAGATTGATCAACCAAGGGACTTCTTCCTATATTGCTATTATGGGTAATATCTCTAGCTTTTTTCTACATTGCTGTTATGGGTAACTGTTAGTTTTGCTGCCATGTCTACTATAATAAATAATCTGTGCTGGGAAATCACCTTTAAGAAGGTTTCGTCTAAAGTTTTCCTGAATCCCACTTTTTAAACGAGTAATGGCATGCCATTTACATATAAATTGCAACAAATGGGAAAAAGGAAAATTTGTTATTACTATCAAATGATACTTCACTTTTCAAGGATTTTCCTTATTTGAAGCATTATTTAGTGGTTACTAAATATTGGATTGCATGCTATATTTGAAAATCTATTCTCCTTGTCCAGGTAACAATAATAAAAAAAAAACTAATATTGTTCCTAATGGGGGGAAGCCCTGCAAAGGAACCAAAGGTAGTCAAGGCATTTGGGGAGTATTTGGTCATTTTTTGCTTCTCTAGGTGGATAATGTTTGATAAAACAATGCTAAGTTTCATAAATCTCATCCTAAGGTTTGTGAAAATTTTTAGAGAACCTTGAGTTGTTATAAATGTTTTTAGGAGTAAGAAAAGGAATATAATAATGAATTATTCAAAGCCAATTTAGGGATGAAATTTCCTTAGAGCTGAGCTCTTTGTTCTTACAAGGATTAAAGTTAGCTTTTTCATTAGGTTGGAATGCTATGGTTGTAGCAAGGACTTCTAGGCAGTAATTGGATGCTTGTCCAGAAACCCTTGAGATCCATCTTGAACAGCTCATCCATGCCTATCCCAACTCCCAATATAAGCGAATGGCATTGTGAATTCCTTAACGTTCTCAAAATCTTGCAATTTATGATACAATTCACAATTTGAACCATGCATCTCAAGGGTTTTGATTTGAATCTTATGTCCAAATCCCTTTTTTGCAAAAATCTTAAGATTTTGTTGAATCCTTTGATTTGACTCATAAATCTTATGATTTATATGATTTTTTCAATTCACTACAATTCAAATAAATTCAATTAAGAATTAGTTTTCTACTTTGCATTTTTTTGTTTATAATTAGTTTTCGTCAAAGGAGACTTGTTTTAAAGCCCATACTAGAAAATTCATTATTTATGTTATTTAATACCAAACATTAAGTTTATTTTCTATCACATGTAGGTTGAAGGCATTGTATGTAGGTTGATTAAAAATAAAGACATTGTATGTAGATTATTGACTTTCAAGTCAAACTTGATTATATCATCTTAGGCTTCTACTGCACAAGTGGTAAATTCTATTGTTTTAGGAATAATTTTATGATTTATGATACAATTCACGATTCAATTCAATTCAACTTTCTCTATGATTTTCGATACAATTATGATTTTCAGAACATTTGTGAGGGTGGTGGGCTCTAGGCTTGGGGATTATGTTTATACTTTATAATGCTCTGGTTGCAGTAAGGACTTTGAGGCAGTGATTGGATGCCTGTCCAGGAATTCTAAGTCCCTAGTGCCTTAGACACCATATGAGAGATGCTGAGGGTTTGGATTCCTTGTATATGATGTTCTGGGGGCGGTGGGCTCCAGACCTAGGGATTATGTTATAAGATGTGTTGTATGTATCACTTTTTTATCATGTTTCAAATTTTCAAGCAGCTTTCTATTGTGCATTTTTCTCCGCCAGGCATTCCTTGGGCTGGGAATTCTCCCTATATTTATGAATAAATACATTCTGATTTTGTTATTGATCAAATAAAGAAAATCAGAGAACCTTTGTTGGGTATCTTGAAAAATACCTGCCTGTGGGGCATGGGTGAAATGTCCTGAACATGTTTTCTCTTTGAGACACTCTGGAAGAATTTGTTGCACCCTTTCTCTTGCATTTCCTGTTTCCTTGTGAAGTTTAGTGGCACTTCATCAAGCTATTTGGGTGGAAATGGATTATAGTTAGCATGCATCCACTCATCTCTCATTGTTGCTTGGCCTGCTAGGGGCTTTAAAAACAAAGGATATATGTTTTGGAGGCATGCATCTTTTAGGATATATTGATGCATTTGGAGGACCATAGGAAGATTTTTGTAACGACAAAAGGTTTCTGGTTTCAGGTAATATGGGGAAAGTAGAATAGTTCATATACTTTTAAAGCTTCTCATTTTCAATGATTTTCAACCATTTTTTCTGTACCAACCAAAACATCATTATCTTTGGCATCTCTGTCATATAGAGTTGTATATGCTGTATCAGTGTTTCATTAGGCATATGAGACTCAACTTGAGCCCCTCAAGGAAAGGCTCAAGACATAGTTGTAAAGGTGTCAACTGTCAAAACAAAGCTAGGCAACAAGGCCTAGGCAATGGTTTTTGATTTTTTTTAATAGAAAAGATTCTAGATCTTATGTTAACTCCTTAGTTTTTATGTGGCATAATGAGCATCTGTATTGAAAAAAAAAAGAAAACAATAATCTTTTCTAGATAGCAATAAATTTCATGCCAAAACATTGAAAATCTTCATATCTTTAAGAGAATGTCATTTAAAATCTATATCAATATCCCAAGCACATTTTTAATGAAATAAGTATTAATAGAGCATAGAGCAATTGCAAACTAAAAGCAAATTAGCAAATTAACCAATTAAACAACAAATCACTGATGTAAACTTATAACTCATGGCAAGTTCAGATTTAATGAAATAAGTATCAATGGCTCAAACTTCTTCCCACATGGTGATTTTCTGCTGAATAGTGCCTTCTTACTAGCAAAACGGAGGGGAAAAAAGGAATTGTTATGTAGGCTTTATCTTAAGTTCTGAGTGACCAAAAGATCAATGCAGAAGAAAAAGAGTGAAAGGGGGGAGGGGGGGGATTATTTCAGAGAGTCCATGTTCTCATTGGTAGAGATAGGCAGAGCCCCTGCGAAAGTTTTAATGCTGTCTGCCAACTTGACACAACCTTCCTTTATCCAGGCTTGGGGGGCAATGTAAGACAAGCCACATGGGCAGAAATGATCACTCCTGTGGTTGATTTTTATTTCATTGTTTTATCTATGACTGCAGGCTTTTGTGGCTTTACCCTATAATTTTTGCTGCTAACGGTATTTTATATTTGATATAATGATAGGGGGATGATATGCATAGGCCAAAAGCAATTCCGCAAAGCCATGGAGCTTTTGCACAATGTATGTAAATGATTTCCAGTCAAATTGGCTAACTTCCAGTTTACTTAATTTAACAAATTCAATTACCTGTGTTCTTTTTTGGTTGTAGGTTGTTACTGCACCAATGCCAACTACAAATGCTATAGCTATTGAAGCTTACAAAAAATACTGTTTGGTTTCCCTCATTCTTAATGGGCAGGTTTGCTAATGCTTCTTTTATCCATCTTCAATCTTAGCTTGAATTAAGATTTACTTAATTATATTCTTGGTGTGTTCATCATTTCATATTTGTTTATTGAACCCATTTGATATCCAAATTAAAGTCAACATGGAAAAGGACGAAAAACTTGGACAAATAGTTTTCTCCTTCCTTTATAATATCACTACCATTGATCTGTTTGTTTGTTGGTCTGATACCCTGCATTGACAAAATTTGATTTTCCTAAACATCTATTGACTGATTAGTGTTGTTTCAACTTTCTTAAGCATTATTAGTCAAATAATCTCTTTCATTAAGTTTCATAGCTTCCTGTCACAGTTTTCAACTACTCTACCAAAGTATACTTCTTCAGTTGCACAAAGGAGTCTAAAGAACTTTTGTCAGGTAAGTCTGAAAACCAATAAAATGTCTCCTCAGATGTGAACTTTTTCTTTCTTTGGCAAATCTCATTTATATCCTCTCCTCTACATTCTTTTGCAATCTTGATGTTATTCTTTTGTATAGTTGGTCTAGTGGAGTATTTCCTACATGCTTGATGCAATTCCTTCAGCTCTGTTGCAAGTTAATATGCATAACATTCTTCCATAACTTCTAAAGATAGGACTTCTAATGTTTCACCATCATGCTGATTGGCTTAAAGTCTTAAACAATTTTAGACCTAGGCATATTGGTAGGCTGATCTTCTGTGCTTGACTTTCCTCTTATTGTTGTGTTGGTCATCTGTCTCTAGCAGACTGGACTGCCACTGTCTGATCACCATGCTGGTTGATGCAAATAAGGACATACGGAGGCATACAAATAGAAATATATTAGTTTTTTAGTTGGATTTTGTAGATCCTACTATAGAGAAGTGTATATGAAATATCTAATTGCGGTCCTTTCTCATAAAATGTATGGGCTAAGTCATGAAATTATTATTTTACGTTTAGGAAACCTTTTGTGGATTTTCTGCCCTTAGTTTAGAAATAATATTCACCTAAACAATACTACCTGTTTTCATGTTTATTTGAAATGGGCTCAACTTTGTTTCTACCTGCTTCTACTCAATGATTCAGTGCAGGAAATCTGCATTCAAAAAAGTCTGGCATTTTCTACATGCTGCTTATTTATCTAAGTTTTATATTGTTGTTCCAGGCTACATAGTTTCCACTGCATGCATGCATATTAGTTTATTGCAAGCTTCCTTTTCATGAAAGATCATTTTTGCATTTGGCAGCACAAATATATTTCTTGGGGTCACTCTGTTCACAAGGATCATATTTCTTGCAGCTTTGCTATTGTGATGTTTGTTGTGGCTCCAGATAGAAGGAGCAAATGTCGTTTCCATATGGGACTAGTCCTGATGGAATTTTAGTCTAGGCTGAGTTCCAATCCATCTTTTATCGTTACATTGGTGCTATTGTGATATGAGATACATAGACACATTAATACCTGTATACTATGAGGGATTTGAATTTTGAACCAAGATGGTTATGACGTATACTGTATATATTTGAGTTCAGTATTGACCACCAAGTTTCACGTTGGAAGTTTGGAACCAAGAGGCTAATCTTTAATTTTTTGGTGCATTACTCAAGTTCATGTGAACTAATAATCCCAACTTGACATGTGGTTGACTGGTCTATGTTGGCACCTACAATGGTCATATACATGGGTGATCCTATATTGTGTTAACTTTTGATTGGCCAGTCTGATTACGATTTCAGTGGTCCTAACTGCCTAGTGTTTTCTTGTTTATGAATTCCTGTCAACTTTATGCCCAGTAATCTTTATTGGATGGTTATGTTGTTAGGCTAGATGATTTTTAGGCCTTAGCCTTACCAATTTGGTAGGCTGTATCAGTGCTTTGTATGACTTGTATTACATCCATTTTTTAATAGGAATTTCTCCTTTCCACACATATTAGGTGGCCCTTCCCATGTACAATGTGTAATTTTGTATTTTCTTGAACTTATTATTGTGCGTATATACACCCTGTTATCTATATTTGCAGCATCATGGAAATTTGATAAATTATACTATACATTCAAATCCTGTTGCAGCCTTACGTTGACTTGGCATATAGTTATAGCAGTGGTAAAATTTCAGAATTAGAGAGCTGTATCGAGATAAACAAGGAGAAATTTGAATCTGTGAGTCCTCTTCTATTTTACTCTGTTGTATATATTTTGTAAGTTCTTTGAACATTGAATTATGATATCCTTGTGGAGACAATTCAGGAGAGTTGTAACCTTCCATTACATTTAGTGACATTCCATTGGAAAGTTTCTGGTGTTCTGCGAACAGAAAGGCAACTGTTTTCCTCAAAACCACAGAGATCTTACCACTGGAAATCTTCATCTAAAAAGCTTGATTTTTCTTCCAGGACAACAATCTTGGCTTAGTGAAGCAGGTTGTATCTTCTCTATATAAGAGAAATATCCAGAGATTAACACAGACATACTTGACTCTTTCACTTCAAGATATTGCCAACACAGTGCAACTGAATACCCCCAAGGAAGCAGAGATGCATGTTCTCCGGATGGTAAGTTCTGAACTTTGTTCCATGCTGTCTTGTCATTTATTTTGGGGCCTTTATGTTGAGTATAATTTCTTGCTCTCATTCCTCAGATCCAAGATGGTGAGATATTTGCAACAATCAACCAGAAAGATGGGATGGTCAGCTTCCACGAGGATCCTGAGCAATATAAGACATGTGAGATGATAGAGCATATCGACTCGTCAATTCAGAGGTATTCAATCCTGCAAGCATTAGCAAGCTGGCTCATGAATCTTCTGTTTAAGCAGTACACTGAAATCATATGTTCTGGGATGTTGTGGCTCAGTATGCAACAACTATTTTCCTTTATATTGTATTTTGTACATGTGTTTGTTTTGGGGAGGAGTGGTGCACTCAGTGGATGCCATCCATTAAATCTCTTTGACAAATCAATATAATCAGAAGAGAACTGGACTTAAGTATGCCTATGAGCTGAAGGGATCAATGACTCTACTGTGTTCTCAGGATAATGACATTGTCCAAGAAGCTGAGTGCTGTAGATGAACTCATTTCATGTGATCCTGCTTACCTGGCGAAGGTATGCCCCATCATGAATTTTCTTTCCTTGCCAGTTCTGTAATGATTTACATTCCTTGCTGTTAATCAAATCTTGTTTGTGTCCAGGCCGGGAGGGAGCGGCAGAGATTTGATTTTGATGACTTCGATACTGTCCCTCAGAAATTCAACTTGTAATGTGAACTGAAATGGCAACACATATTTTGGAGATTACTCTGATATGAACGTAAAGCCCACAAAAGGAGCATAAAAGAATGCTAAATGATGATCAAGGCAATGATGTTGATAACCAAGTTAATATTGGTCTTATTAGGATATACATTGTTAAAAGAGGCTGCTGAAGTTCGTATTTTATTCATTATCTTTTCCATGTTGGGATTACGGCCATGCTTTGATTCTGTTCAAAGCATCACTTGATTGAATTTTGTATTTGGACCTTGTGTAGATTTATGAACGATTATGGGAGGAAATAGATACAAAGGCGTTTAAGTTGTGCATAGGTATATTTTGCTACCGAGGTAGATTGGGCCAAAAAGATAATTGTGTTCATGATGAAAGTTTTTAATAGAAAGCATTGTCATGGATAAAAGGACAGGATTCAGGGTTCAGAACCATGGATGTGTGGAGGTTGCCAAATGCCAACAGGCCAGAAATATCTTGCTACTGAAGGGTTGGCCAAAGAGATAGGTTCAGTTCATGGTGAAAAGTTCATGTCACGGAATGGTGACGCCTTGTGCATTTTAAGCATGTTTTGAAAACCGGACTGGATTGTTGGACCAGTTGACCTAGGAACCTATCAGCCAACCGGTTCTGTTTCACCCTAAACCTTTTTGGGCCAAAATCCGTTGACATGGTTAGTGATCTGTTGACCCGGGTGTTTGACCTATAGATTTGGACAACGGTTTTTGGCTATTTTTATTTTTATTTATTTTTTAAATCGGAACAGGTTGTCCATCTGAATTAGATGATTGGACCGTTTTGCCCAAAAACCCGTGGTCAAAATGATTCCGTGTCCGATCTAATTTTTAAAAGTTAAAACCTTGCTTTTCAAGTGTCGAAATCCGTATTTCCCTATGCCTTACATGTACAGAGATGCCATGCCATAGGTACTTTAAATAGGAAAAAGAATGAAGTGCTACTTATGATGTGCTAGATGTTCATGTATGTTAAACACTTAAAATAGAGATCACTACCTCAAATCTTCTCCTTATTTCAGTTTTCTCACGTCCACTTCGACAATTCCAGATCTTTAGAGCGAGAACGACAATAAACTGAATTAGAGACTGAAGAGACAGCGTGAGCCAGAGTTGGAGACTGTAGGAGGAGTTGGAGAGGCAGAGACAATGATGGAGCCTGGGAGGAGGAGGAGCCAGACAGGAGAGGAATCGTAGATGGTTTCTTTGAATTCAGATTTCAACCGTGCATTGGAAGCGTTTTTATGTGAGGACGAATTTGGAATTTGATTTCATTATCAATGGGCTTGGCAATGATGAGAGTGGGACCATCCACAAAATAGCGTGGAGAGGGACGGGCCACACCACAATTTATCGTTAACAATATTTTCTCGTAGATGGTCAACATCATGGTATGGACAGTTTGTGGGAAGGTTTCAGTGTAATGCACATGCGTTGCATTGGCCCAATTACTCCCATTTTATTTAACCTTTTAATAATTTTTAATTTTTAATTTTTAAATTTTTAATATTTTATCAATAAAATAATAAATTTTAATGTTAATTCTAGCACAAGTCCAATGGTTCTCCTTCTCAAATCTTTTTTCATTATTTAAATATTAATTTGTTAATATTTTTATCAATAAAATAATATTTAAAATATTAATTTTTAATATTTAAAATAATATTTTTAATTATTTAAAAAATGCATTTATTGTCTACATATTGTTGCATTTTTTTTCAATTTATTTACCATATAAAATGCAAAAATTAGACACTTATGATTGACTGTATAGATCTCCAAAAAAATGTATATGAGATACATGGAATAAAAAAGTACAATTGTGGACTATGGTGTGGTGTGGATTTATGTGCTTATTCACAAGGTACTAAATTGTGATTCGTCCAGATTTGGCTTTCTCAGTAAACAAGGTTGCTCAATACATGTCCAAGTCCACTATTAATCATTGGGCTGCTGTAAAGCATATCTTACGGTACATTAAGCACACCCACACCCTGGGTCTCCACTTCGCCATTCTCGCTCCACTCAACTTCATGGCTACAGTGACTCAGATTGGGTCGGGTGCTTAGATGACCGACGCTCTCATGGAGGATATTGTGTCTACTATGGGCCTAATCTCATCTCCTGGTCCTCCAAGAAACACTCCACAATATCCAGATCAAGTACGGAAGCAAAGTATAGGTCTCTTGCAATCCTTGCAGCTGAGCTCGTTTGAATTCAAATGCTCCTTCATGAAATGGGCTTTCCTCCTGCCTCCTCTCCAGTTTTGAGGTGTGACAATACCAGTGCAACTTACTTAGCCTCTAATTCCATTCATCATTCCCGTAGCAAACATGTTGAGCTAGATTTTCATTTTGTTCGGGACAAGGTTCAACCTCACCTCCTTGAAGTCCGTTTTCCCACCACCGTTGATCAGACAACTAATATCTTCACCAAACCCCTCCATGTTCAGCGCTTTACATTCTTACGTGACAAGCTCTTCCTGATCACAAGCACGGCATTGCTTGAGGGGGCGTGTTAGCGTTACCCGAGCTCTCACGTAACCCATGCAATAGTTACCCTTGTCACATATGTAATCCACCTAGATAAGGTTTATCCTCTTGGAGTTTTTGTATATCTCGAACTCTATCTCAGACAATAGAGTTATCTTGTGATCTCTATCTTAACCGATGGAGTTATCTTATAACCTGCATTTAAGCCATTGATAAGCTGTGATAATACATCGAGTATTCCTCCGAAATTATTCTCTTCACCAGTCGGATTTCCTTCCCCCATTTATCCCATCCATTGCATAGTCCAAAGTTCAAACGAAGAAGACAAACACCCCCCATGCACATTCAACGGTGCATTGGTAAACATGACAAGTATGAAAGGTATTCCCAATGCACGGTTGGATGTGTATGGTGAGCTCATCCGGACTTATCACCAGATGTGCATAGGATTATTTTTAAAGACCACATTATTTTATTTCCTATTTTATTATTCTCACAAACAAATAAGATAAAGTCAAATTTAAAACAAAATTAAATTCAACCTATTTGCACTTTCGTGCAGTTATGCTAAATGCAAATGAAATTTGCATTACAACCAAACTGAGCCTAGTGAATAAAGGCATGTCTAGATATGAAATTTATTCACGTATTTGCAAATATCAAATGAAAAAGTATGTTTAAATTAACTAGTTAGGGAGTGTTTGTCAATGTGAATAGTTTTGTTTTCTAAAACAAAAACATCTGTTACATCAATAAAAATACATTCCTTTTGCTGACATTGCAATTCCTTTTAGAAAATAGGGAAAATTCCTGATCAGTACCCTCTACTTTGGCTCGAGGGATAATTTGGTCCCCTAACTTTAAAATGCAACAATTCAGTACCCAAACTTTCAAAATGTGACAATCCAATACCCGAATTCTAGATTATTCGGTACCCTAATTCTCTTTATCAACTATCCAAACATTGACAATAAAATGAACAGTCCTAAATTATAGATTCTTCTAAACAGTCATCGACTTTTTTGAATAGAAGAGGCTAGGATTTGGGACAGTTCAGTTTTTTGTCAATGTTTGGATGGTTGATAAAATGGCATTTGAATGTCATTTTTGACTTTTCAAATGTCACTTAATGGCTAATTAACGGACTGGTTAACGACAGGTAATGGATTGTCACATTTTGAAAGTTCGGGTACTAGATTGTCGCATTTTAAAGTTTGGAGACCAAATTGTCACTCGAGCCAAAGTAGAGGGTAGTGATCGGGAATTTTCCCTAGAAAATATAACCATTCACATCAACAGACACCCATATAACTGGTATTAAGAAACCTCATATCACTCAAGATAGCAATTGACAGATTATCAAAAAAATTCAATCCCTTGAGATGTCAAAGCCTTGTGATGGATTGCCGCACAATTAGGGGGAAATGCTCAATTTTAGGTGGTGTCAATTGGACCGATTTTTGTACAATCCAATCTGGTCCAGTTTGAGTTAATTACAGATGGACCAGGTCCAATCTACTCCAATGAATATTTTGGACCGGTCCAATTTAATTTTGGATGGCCCAGTCCAATCAATTTGGTTTTAATTTAGATTGATTCAATTCAATGTGTTATTGGTCAGTCCAATCCCTACAATTTGATTTTGATTTAGATGGGGTCCAACCCAAAACCGGTCCATTGACAACCGACCCTACTTATATTTAGGTTTGATGAAAGTTAGGGGTGCAAATGGACCGGATTGTGATCTGATCTGATCCGATGTCTGATCCTATTTTATTAGATTCGGATATCCCCATTTCAGATCTTTAGATCAGATTGAATAATAGGATCTTATAAAAAAATGGATCGAATTCAGATCACCCCCTAACCGATCCAAGAGGATCCAATCCGATATATATGTTTTAAGGTCGGGCTCGAGTTAATCATAAACCTGATCCAACCCGCCTGATTTGCACCCCTAAAAACAGAATGGTACCATAGTGCGATAATCACACATGGAGAGAAAGTGGAGTCAAGCAGCTGATTGGCTTGAAAACAAACGTCATATCTGTGGAGAGCTGATGTTTTCTACCGATCCCCTCATTCATTATATTGGGTCAAAGTATCGAGACATAATGGTGCATATAGAATGAATCAAAGAATATCACCCCTTTGAATCGTATGATTTTCACTTATTCGATACTTTGAAAAAGTCATCACTGCATTAGTTCTCTTAATGTCGTTTTCTTATTGCATGGAATACATGGTGTCTTCCAGATCACCCTAGTCGTATGTTATATATTTGGTTCTCTAGTGCATGCTTAGCTAGTTAGTAGTTAGTAGTATTGTCTCTCTTCCATGTCGGCTCATACTTGTTCACACCTTCACTATCCCAATTTATATTCTCTTGTCAATTGCCATGCATGCATCCCATCACTAACCAATCAGAATTTATCAAAATTCACAGTTTTTTTTTTTTTTTTAATTTAGTAGGTGTTTGGCATTAATGTTGTTTCTTTGAAAAATTGGCATCACATCTGAAATCCGTTTTTTTGGAATATGCATGATGTTCTCGGACCATGTCTTGGAAATTGGGAAAGGTGTGGTATGAGAAAAATGCCTATCGGGTTTCTTTTTTCCCTTTCTTCTACTGTTGTTAGCAATAGTATGCTGACATAGCATTTAAAAACGTCTATGTGGCAACTAGACCTGTTCATGGGCCGGGTAGCCCGACGGGCTGGCCTGGTCCGACCCGTCTTAAATAGGGCTTGACAAAATTTTAAGCCCACGAGCTTAGGCTCAGGCTTGGGCTCAAAAAATAGGCCCAATTATTTTTCGGGCTGGGCTCGGGCTCTCCCAAATAAGCCTGGCCTGAATTCGAGCCTGGCCCAATATATTAAATATATAACAGAAATATAAAATATATGTTAATAATACATATTATATATTATATAATAATAGAATTAATAGCAAAACAAAGTATTACATATGTTAAATGTATAAAATATTATGTTATTAATAATAATTAATATTGTTATAAAATATCTATCAAAATCAGGCTTCGGGCTAGGGCTCAGGCTCAAGATCTAGGCCCGATGGTCAGGCCAGGTCTAGTAGTTTTTGTTTATAAAAAGACACAGCTCGTCCCATCCCGACCCATGACAGGTTAAAGGGGTATCAAATAGAAAACCCAAAAAAAAATGTTTTTTGAGAAAATAGAATACCCCATGAATTTTGATGAATTCTCGTCGGCTAATGTGCAACTTAGCACAAAATCTTTTAAGTTTTGGAGATATAGCTCGAAATCGGGACCCCTATTGGTTTGTTTTCCAAACAGCATGAGGTGTTTCTTGGCCATTTGCACACTGTTCAATCACCTAAACACTTCATACACGTTCCATGTTGTTAAACCAAGCCAGCTACAATGTTAGTACATTTATGATAGACATGTATTTTTGTCATTGAATTTTTTGCTACATATATGGAATACCTTTTCCTTCTTGTTTTTTCATTTATTTGAAAGTATGTAGATTTTCTAAGAAGTAAGAGCACACAGAACAACTAGCTTAAAACAAATTAATGTTCTAATTGGAAAGGTTGTCAAGATCACCCAATTATGCTAGATCCTGCAGTCTGATTACTTTAGGGCTCATAAAAGTTGACAATGTTTTATTATATAAGTAAATATGAGGAGATTATTGACTAAATTTCATGGACCCTCCCTCCAATAACTCCAAGGGTCCGGCTCTTCATTTCTTTCTTTCTTCTTTGGCATATTCTCCCTCTGTAGGATGATATTTTTGCCCATTTTCATCGACTTTGTTAAAATGGAGTGGTTGCTGAAAATGAAGATATGTCATATCCATCAAAATGGTATCTTAATACCACCCAAATGTTCCTCTTTTTCTCTCTCTCTCTATCTCCGCTGTGTTTATTAGTGGTTGGACAACGTGGAGTAGAAATGAAAAGAATGCAAATTCTGGTTTAATTTTGTATGGGTCGTTCTTCATTCTACCGTTCAGATTTACGACACGTCGCACAAGACAATAATCTCTCCCAGAATATGCATCATGTCCATGATCAAAATACTTTTGAACCCGTCCGACGAGGCCGGATTGTAATAAAGCCATTCATTCAACCATGCATTGTTTTGGTAACAACAGAGATCCTTCCATTAGTATCTTTGAGGTTCTATCACCCTAAAACATGTACTTCATCACTATTAACGAGCCATCTATCCAAATTAAGTACGATAGATAAGAGGATTTTGGTTCATCTGGGAAATCAAAGTTTCAGATATATATACATAGGTTGCTTTTCTGATGGCGAAAATGGAAGAACAGCTGCGGCTGAGTGATGAAGAAGAAATAGAAAATTAAAAGCACGTCCGACTGCTGCATGAAATGTTCTTCGGTAAAAAAAAAACTTTAATTTCGGAGTTCATGCAGGAAACGTGGGCGTTTCTTCTTCTTTTTTTTTTTTTTTTTCTCTTTTCTAGTTTCTTCTTACTTTACAGTGGAGCACTTTGTACAGTCTTCATTCGGATGAGTGAGAGAGGGGGAAGGCCCCTGAAGCAAGGCAAACAACAAAGAAGCGGGAGAAGCAAGGAAAACAGAATCGAGGTGGAGCAAGCAAAGTCATATTCATGGTGATCGAACATCCAAGACAGCAACGGCTTAATTAGCTTTTCTTTTTCTTTATTCTTGTTGATTCATGAAATGTCATCACAATTGACAAGAGCGATCGATCGAGCGCCTGAGATGTTCACTCTTCATCACCCATCCAGCTGTGGAGCAGCACAGAAGACAGACGGACGGACACCACCAAAGGAAAGGAGGGACCCAGACGGCCAGACCCAATTACTCTTGATGATACCAATCTTACTTTCCGACGTGTAGGTTCGAGCTGTTTCCGTTTCAGAATCTGATGCGTTCCTTTTCTTTTCTTTTCTTTTCTTTATCTCACTCTGTCGCTAGCTTGCTCTCTTCCTTAATTAGTACTCCTGTTACTAGTCACTGCTCACTATAAATAAGGCAAACTTGGAGATTGTTCTCTCATCGATTTTTATTTGGATTTGCAGTGTGTACTGTATCCCAGCTAGCTACAGGCTACAGCCTCGTGATCATGGAAAACCAGCAGCCTGCTCCCTCTCGTCCCTTGTTCCGTCTGCTTTCCCAAATTCGGACGACGGAACCTCCACCCCCACCCCCTCCTCAGCCTCCGGCGATCCAGACAAGGCCTACTCTCGTCCGCACAGCATCACTCCAGGCCATTAGGCTTCCTCCACCTGCAACCCAACCACAACCTGAGCCTCAGCCTCA